TGATATCGTTTCCAAACCGTAGTTGCCATACAAATTAATGAAATGTCTGTGAGTTTTTGCTTTACGCTGTGGCGCGCTCCCGCGAGGTGCAGTGGGCATGCATAACACGGCGCTAACAGTTCACGAGCGTGCGCCCCCCCTCCCTCTGTTGACAGTTGACAACCCCCCCCCCCCCCCCGTCAGAGTTGTACAGACCGACGGGTAATAATGTATTTTGACGGAAATGTTACAATCCTGTCTGTCAAAATGACGGGCAGCGAAAAAGTCTAGAGCAAGCTCTGCCTGAAACACACTGTAAAACGGTTAAACCGCGGAAAACACACAAATTAATTCATAGTTACATCATGCTGTCCTAAAGAGGACTTCAAGCTAGCGATTTAGATCATATATGGACAAGGAAAATGTTTACTGGGATAATAAATCAAGCGAGATGTCGGGTAATTTTTTTCATAAACTTCTATACAATCAGACTCAGTCTTGTAACCAGTGCAGTCGCCTTTTGCTGGCCATTAGAGAAAAACCCGGTTTAAATGCAATGGCTTTACTTTTCAGATCCTTACGTCGTCTCTTCGTCCAAACAAAGATTTACTGTAAGAATAAATCTACTGGAGTTTGAAGTCAAGAAATGTCAAACAGTGCTTCAAACACATGAGCCACAGAGTGGTTTAGAAAGGCAGAAGAGGACTGTACACAATGCTACAGGATCAGTCTCTACACACTCTATAAATGTTATTAATACTTGTAATATAGCAACAAGCTGAAGTGCTGAAATAAATGTTGATATCATATCAACTGAGATAACAGCATTCAGAAAGCATGACTATCTAAAGGCATATGGTATTTCATCAAAAGAGTCATGTCGTAATGAAAATATACACCACTGTAAAAACAGGACTGTGCAACGTTTGCTACACGATCAGCTAAAAATAGAGCTATCACTAAGGCAACCTTAAAAATAATGAATCAGCCTTCCAAACATCTCAGAGTATAAGGATAGATTGACTCCATCATTGAATACAGGCCAAATACACAAGAGAGAAACATTGGCTTTATCTATATGTGCAAAAAGGAACATCAGTTAAAAATGTTGTAATTTAGGATCGTGTAACTTTTGGTCAAGTGACAGCATGACAAGTACAAGCATGTTGATCAAGTTTCACCTTTTGAAGATGCTAAAGTTAGCTAGTTGGATATCACATCTAGAAGACATGTAGCATATTTAGCATTAGTATTGGAGTTTTGGCCACTTGACACATTTGAGTCTCATTTTACGACTTGGTCATCTTTGGGCTCTCCATCAACTCCTGAATTAAATATCTTATAGTTGCTAGTTGCTAACCTGTGCTGGGCAGTTGGATTTATTGGAATTTCTTTGCTGAAAACAGCAGCATTTATCTTGTAAAAGACATTTATCAGAGCTAGTGTGGGATTGAAGCAACTCAGTATAGTTGCACATCCCAAAAGTAAAACAATTGGCTTAAAAACACTAATTATATTCTGACAGTTTAATGAAAATAAAGACACACATAATCAGGTGATCATTTTCTGGGGGTTCATAACCACAAGGCATCTTCCACATTACACCTATTAATTGTATCCATCGGTAATACAAAAATATTGATCAATGTTTTGTCCAATTATTGTTGAATAAGACAAATCAGGCTTTAGCTACACAAACAATACTTGCGAGAAATGATGTGAACCAGTACAAACATTGGACTTTCTGTAAAAAGAAGGGCTTGATGATTCTGACTGGAAACTTGAAGGCAACTATTTTGTCGTAAGAGTCAAAAAGCCAGCGAACGATGGTCAACAAACATCCAAAGTTGAGTTCCCAAATCCAATCTGCTGAAGTAAAGCCTTTCTCCTGGTGTTAAATGAGGTCTGTTGTTGGGGCTGTAATGCCAACACCTCATGCCAGAGAAGTGCGGGCATAGGTGGCAGCTGGAGACAAGACAGACCAAAAACAGACATGCTGAATGACACACACTGGCACGGAATGCAAACACACACACACACACACACACACACACACACACACACACACACACACACACACACACACACACGCACACACACACACACACACACACACACACACACACACACACAAATCCTGAGATACTCTCCTGTACTGTATATACATATTAGAAGTGTGTATTAAACACTGTCTGTGCTTAAAGGACATTAAGTCCATGTGTCACTACAAGCTATACATCAGCTGGTGCTCCAATGATAAGGTTGATTAAACAATTATATTTGGTATACTTAATTCATTTGAAGGGATAGTTGTAAAACATGGATCCTGATTGGTGTACAAGAAAACCTGTTTACGTAGAAACCTGCAGATACCCCTTAAGCAATCGTCTAATTTTGGTTTTGGCCAATTATAGTCATTTTTTAATGCTTAAAAAGACAAAAACATGAATAATCCCCAAAGTTGTATCAAGGTTCAAGCAGTGAGAGATTTAAACTGAAGAAATAACAAGATGGACGTTTCCTGGTTCAAATGCAGCAAAATGATTGGATGGATTTCAGTAATCTATTATGCTTCGATCCAAGAAGTATGCTCAAACTTCCTGTAGAAAAATAATCAATAAAGGCAATTACTACAAATGTAACCAATCAAACAAAGTATTTCTCTAAAAACAACAACAACAACAACAACAACAACAAGCAAACGGACCAACTTAAGTCTTGCAAAAATGAGGAAGGGTGTTTACATGGCGACCTTCCAGATTGGATGTGATTGTGTTGACTTCTGCCTCCCTACGTGTGAGTTTGTAAGTGTGTGTGTGTGAATGTATGTGTGACATTATAGCACTTAAAGGGGCCATGTGGCTGAGTTTTCAGTCGTGATGACCCTGGCCACCTCCGAGTTTTAACGACAGACAGCCAGACCTGTTAGAAGTCTTTGAGGACGGCGTGAGGATGCAGCACTTCCTGTTGATAAGGTGCCGCTTCCTGGTCAGCGTGGGACCACTGACATGCACTTTATTTGACTTTATTGGGCTTGTTTCTGTTTAATTGGGCTACTTTTTATAAAGTTTGGCTTGAGAAAATGGCATTGGGCTGGTAGATTACATTTGGGATGCTTTTGTCAACATTTTTGGGGGGTTTTGAAAACATTATTACCAACATATGGTCGAAAACACTGATAGAATATTCATATTGGTCATTATCTGACGGTGGCACACCACATTTTTACAGCAAAGTTATGTTAAGATAAGATAAGAAGTACTTTATTAATAATAATAATAATAATAATATATAATATTTTTATAGCGCCTTTCAGGAAACCCAAGGTCGCTTTACAAGTCGGGTAGGGGGGGAAGTAGGGGAAAAAAGGCAGACAGGTTAAGGGGGGGGGGGGGGGAAGTAGCGGAAAAATAAACCTATTAAACTAACTATACAGTGGCGAAGTTTAATATTAAAATATTAATCCCAATTTGGGACATTTTTACGTTGCAGCAGCATAAAAAGACAAGACATTGTACATTAGAGAAATTAAAAGACTAAAAGTAAACAATCCAAAATGTAAACATCTCAAATATAAGTAAGATAGCATTAAAAAAGTAGAAAATATACATGTTGAAATGTCGTGTTTCTTTTTAATTGTATATTATGAGGCAACAACAACAACAATAACAACAAGCAAAAGGGTTGCTAACTCCAGCTGTTGAGTCACATAAAAGCCTTCAGGGAGGAATGAATTCCTAACTGTTAGATTAAGGTTTAACTCACATTAACATGTAGTTAGTTATAAGCCAATGACTCATCATGAAACTATTTCAAAATGAACTGTTTCCTCCGATTGAAAAGTCAGCAGACACGCAGCTGAGGAATCTGATGATTAGCATTTGGAAAGAGTAGGCTCTCTTTTCTTTTGCAAAAGGTGCATTTTGAGTGTGTTTCTCAGGGGCCTAAAAGGTTGATACGAGGGCCATGTTTCAGCGTCATTTCTCTGTGCGTTTCCTTATTAGCTTCCCATTGTGTTGACAAGCCAAATGTGTATGCAGTGAAAGAAGAATTAAGATATTTTACTATAGTAATATCACATGTTAAAAGTAAAAGTCCTCCTTTCAATGTTACTTCAGTCAAATAATGAGATAAAATCATGAAAAGGTACTTAAAGTATAACATCAAATGACTCACTATGCAGCTAAAAAGGCTCTTTGAGTATGTGATTACTGTAGGGAGGCGTGTGGCGCAGTGAGTTAGTGCGCTGATCTTTGAATCAGAGAATAGCAAGTTTGAGTCCCACTGCAGTCAGCATGTCGTTGTGTCCCAGAGACACTTCACCCCAAATTGTTCCTGTGGGGATTGCCCACAGTATTGAGTTTGTAAGTTGCTTTGGATAAAAGCGTCTAACAAGTCAAATGTAATGTAATAACTATTTATTATAAGATAACTATTATTGATGGAGTAACATGTACGATGCATTTAGACGTTGTAGATTTCTGCAGTAGAGGTTAATTTATAATTGTTTATACTGTTGACTGGTTTAATGTATATAATATAATGCTTTGTGCACAACATCGTCATCGGAATTGTACTTATCTAAAGTTATCATATTTAGATGTAATGATGTATAAAGTACAATATTTTCCTCTAAAGAAAGTAGTGAAAATAGCATTAAATTAATACAAAATGTATCTCAATATTGTACTCAGAGGTGCAAAAGTAGACCTATTACTTAACAATGCAAAAAGTAGCAGTACTTCATTTTAAAAATATTATTTATAAGTAAAAGTCCTGCATTAAAATATTGGCTCCTAAAATGTAGTGGAAAAGAATAAAGTAGCATACAATTAAAATACTCAAGTAAAGGCAAAATACCTCTATATTGTACTTAGCACTTGAGTAAATGTACTTTCCACCTCTGATGTCATGTTGTAGAGAGAGAGAGACATCAAACTGTTGCCCATGAGGTCTGATGAGTTTTAAATCTGATCTAAGCCCCGCCCCCTCCCTGCTCCGCGCTGCCTCTCGCAGCAGACCGCGCGCTCCAGCGGACAGTCCGGCTGCACGAGAGCCTTCCTCCGACCTCTACTTACTCAAATATATGTTTTAATGGAAAGATAATTAAACCGGAGTCAAGAAAGTCTCCTGTTCCTCCAGTGGAAGTTTTCTCTGGTGAGTTTTTATCTCATTTTGACTTTGAATCACTCTGTAGTGTCCTCAGAAACACGCTCTCTTAGACTCAGTGATAAGTTAATGGGCACTTATAATGTCAAGCATATGTTTTATTTATAGACTTACAGTGACTATGTTGTGTCTCTTCTTTGCATGTTGACAGTGGTGGACAGTCACTTAGTACAATTACTCAAATACTGTACTTTGGTACGCAGTTTAAAAGAGTATTTCCATTTTATACTACTTTATACTTCTCTCTACATGTTTGAATGCAGTTTTATTGACTAGTTCCTTTATAAATCCAAATTTTAAAACAATACACTCAGGAAAACTCTTTTAAATAAGATTATTTGTTTTAGATGTAACCTTCCAACATCATATTTAAGTAACTTAAACCATGAGTGGGTTAACAGAAATGTTATGGGCAGCAATTTTGCTAAACATAAATAAAATATTTCACAGTTCCAGCTTTTTAAATATGATGATTTTCTGCTTTTGCCTTAAAAAGTTTTAAAGTATTAAAATATGTTTCGAGTACTTTTACCCCTAATAGTACATACATACTTTTTAGTACCATCCTTGATGCAGTACTTTTACCTATAATTAAGTATTTTACAGTGTGGTGGTAGTACTTTTAGTTATGTATACCCATAGACTGTATATATAAAGTTTATACCCTATAGATATCACGTAATATTCTTAAAACATTGGTAGAGATTCCTACAAATGTGTGATATTTTTATAAGATCCCCATTTGTTTGAAGGAATATCCTAATTATGACCTATCAATGTCTTTTTGATGTAATTGATCATGTGATTAATTATTGGCAATGTGTTTTTTCTAGACATATATGAATGAAAGTGTATTTATGGGAGAAAAGCCTATACTGTACCAAGGAAAGAAAGCAAATACAGTAGGTTTAGTTTCAGATAAGGCAGACTTAGAAATGTTGACAGAAACTAAGCTGCTATCAGATTTTAAAGCTCACACTGTTGGCTTTAGTGTGAGAGTGAAACTCAATCTCCTGTGTAACATGTTTTATGTCCAGCAGCAGCAGCAATATAAACTCTACCACTGCTTTGATTTTTGTATCGCTCTGCCTTGTTATTACACTCGTTACATAACATAAACCTATCAATGTGCATACATGCCACTGAATCGTGTCGCGATGCAGCGGCACATGTCGGGCTGAAGTTGACGTTTTTGGCCTTGAGGTGTTTTAATTATGGAGACAGACGTGTGTGTTGCACTCATTGCACATCGGGGGCAAAGACCTTATGACCCCTAAAACATACCAGCACGCCACAAGGAAAAAACCACGCACGCACGCGCACACACACACACACACAGAGATTGATTGGCCTGCTAAGCTTGCCAATAACCACAAAGGCACATTGGTGATCAATAAAAAGCCAGCCTGCTTCCTAGCTAATAACAAAAACTCAATAAATAACTTGTACACTGAGTGACCTCCTCCATGTTGATCTGTCTCTGTAATCTAGTCTCCCCAGAGATGTGTGCATATTATCCTCTCTCTAAGTACATGCTTTGAGATATATATAAGGAGGCGTGTGGCGCAGTGGGTTGTGCGTGTGTGTTCTGGTTCAGGGGGTCACAGGTTCAAACCCCGCTGCAGTCAGCATGTTGTTGTGTCCCTTCACCCCAAATGGCTCCTGTGGGGATCGCCCACAGTGTTGAGTATGTTAGTCGCTTTGGATAAAAGCGTCTAACAAGTGACATGTAATGTAAAACATATCCATGATGTAAGCCTCCTGCATGCAGCAAATTATTACCACATGCATGTGTAGTATGATGTGTCCTGTACATACCCCTTAAGGTAAGGCTTTCATGATATTTATAATTCTAGTAGAACTTTTTTTAGAAAGTCTTTTTAATTACATTTTTATTGATATCGTTTTTTTTACATTAATTATATTTATTTGTATTTAAATTGTTTTATTCTATTCATTTTAATTATTTTAAATGTTAATGTTATTTACTGACATTTATTTAACATTTTTAATTTCTATTTGTATTATTATTTATTTATTCTAAGATTGAGCAAATGTCACAAAAACCTATTTTACACTATGGATAAGAAAATATTCTCATTCTTATTATGATGTTAGGCAGCATCAATCAAACAAGTGATATACAGTAGGAAAACTAGCACACTAATAAACATATATGCAATAAAGCACACTTCATAAAAAGTCAAATTGCATAGGGAGGGAGTCACATCAAGCGTCTTTAAAAAACAATATTGATTTTGTTCCACAGTCTTGGTGCCCTAATAGTGATAGAGCATGGACACTAATGATGCTTTATGGGGTAAGTGAGTGCAGAAGCCCCCTGTGGTTTGTCCCTCTTCGTTGTTTTTCTTTACCTGAGTTCGACATTCCTCTGCAGCCGACCTTTGGTGACCTTTTCGTGTCACTGACGCAGCAGCAGCAGCAGGAAGAGGTTCGCTGCAGAGGTGTGAGGCTTCTGTGTTTGTTTTAACACCGCAGGGTTTCTTTTGCCACACATGATGAAGACGATGAAGACCACTTCATCATGGTCTGTCGTCACCAAATGGTCAAAACGCACATGTGTGATTCAACCCCCCCCCCCCCAAGTAAAAGCAAGACACCCAAGTTTTAATGTAAGAGACTTCTACAGTCAATTTGGTAAGAACCAAAGTATAGTTTTCAGTTCATATCTTGACTTCAGCTTTTTTTAGGAAACATGTTTTTATGGACAGTCTTTAGGTGCTTTCACACTGCGGTACTTTTCCCACAAAGGTTCATGAGAACTTAGTTCATGAGAACTCTAGTTCTCATGAACTAAGTACAGATCGCGTTCACACTGGAAAAAGTCCCTGGGGGAGGATTAGGCAAATGAAGCCGCTGACGTCACTTGTTCTTCTTCTGCTTTGGGTTTACTGGCAGGCCGCAAACCACTTCACGGCGTATACTGCCACCCGGAGTCCCCGGCCGGAAGTCCCCGAAGTTGGGGACTGGCTTCAGTAGAAGCTGCTGGGACTCCCAGCAGCTTCTACTGAAGCCTTCCGAGTAAATCGCCAGAACGCCGACACCTCCTCATCTCCACCGCTCCCATGTTTTATTTTGTGTTGCCATAAGTTAGTCTCTCTGCGTTTGTGCGCTGGGCTAATGCTAATGCTAATAATGCTAATGCGAGGATAATAAAATGGCGGCTTCACAAAACTTTTTGGGAGTTTTGCGGGGCGTGGTTTGCAATACTTCCAGCCAATCAGAAATGTAGCTCTTTTCTCACAAAAGAGCCGTTCGAATTTCGTGGGGGTAAAAAGGTTCACATGTACTAATTTTAGTACCGGCTCTTTTTGGTGTGAACGCGATAAAAGAGTTCACATGAACTAAGTTCACATGAACCTTTGTGGGAAAAGTACCGCAGTGTGAAAGCGCCTATTGTGATAAAAAGAGGACCTTTCTGATAAAAACGACTTTGATGTTTTAAATTGACAAACAGGGATAGGCTGTATTCTGAAGTTGTGGAAGATCTTCAAAGTTGACCATATGTTAGATGCGATATGTAGAAAATCAAATATTGTGATTTTCTGATCAAATATCGACTATTTGTGCTTTAAAAAAAACGTTAACACAATGAGAATTTTGCTTGTTGAGTTTTCTATTTAGCTATAACGACAAAGAAGGTAAATGCAAGTAATATGGAGGCGTGTGGCGCAGTGGATAAAGCCTTGGTGTTGGGATCAGTGGGTCACAGGTTCAAACCCCACTGCAGTCAGCATGTCGTTGTGTCCCTGAGACACTTCACCCCAAATTGCTCCTGTGGGGATCGTCCACAGTATTGAGTATGGGAGTCGCCTAGGATAAAAGCGTCTAACAAGTAAGATGTAATGTAATATTCAAAAATGGACATCTTACATCTCTTGTAATGCCTTTAAAACCAGAAAAAGACTTTCTCAATATTATGATATCCAAAATACAAGACGATATGTAGTCTCATATCACGATATCGATATAATATTGATAATAAGCATATGTACAGTATAGCATATGCACAGAGCCGGACATTACAAATGAAATGTCAGTGCTCTCTGGTGGACACCCTCTGTAATGGTGTCTATTCTTCATTGATCTTACAGTAAAATGATCATATACAGATATCAATATACAGTATATGTGAAAAGATAATATTGGCTTACTCTCATCACTCTACAGGTCATACTACAAGTGTTTAAAGACCTCCATATCAAATTAAAACATGGGGAATGTGCGTGTTAGTAGAAGAAAGGGATAAGGAAAGATTAACAGTACGTTTGAGCGCATGATAAGACACACAATCTAAAAAGAAAAGGCAACAAAGAGGGCAAATTGAGACTGCCAGCTCCAGCAGATGCAGGAAGCGGAGAAAATAGTTATTTGTTGAAGCATGAAAATGTTTTCTTGGCCGAGGAGGAAGTGTAGGCTCCGTGTTTTGCTTGGATTCAGTCTGAGCGTGGACGTAATTGAAAAGCCAAAGAGAGAGCAGAACAAAATGTGGCCTTATCTTGTATGTTTGTTCACCTGGTTAGTGGGGTTAGTGAGTGAAGGACATGAGAAGAGAGGAGAGAGGGAAGCTCGACGTTAGAAAGAACAACGCTGATCTCACTCAAGACGAACTACTGTATGGCAGAGGAGGTAGGGCCGTCAAAAGGAGAGGTGTGTGAAGTGTGTGTGTGTGTGGTGTGTGTGTGTGTGTGTGTGTGTGTGTGTGTGTGTGTGTGTGTGTGTGTGTGTGTGTGTGTGTGTGTGTGTGTGTCCTACAGCTGTTTTAGTCAGTCAAGACCCACAAAGAGAAAAAGGAAAATATAAAATGAAAAAGGTTAGAAAAAGAATTGGGCACAGAAAACGGAGTAAAGGGGAAGGAGATCAACTTTTATATATTAATAAAGTCAGTTTTTCACTCTGGTGTTAGTTTGCAATTACATACACGAAATACACACATGCACAAACCAACCTGATCTCACCAGATTGCGTGACTCCACCACGACTCCTTAACACCACATTGCGTGGTGGAGTCACGAACTTTGTTACATTTACGTGTCGGCACCACGCAAACAACCCCGATGTAAAGTGAATGACCTTGGTCGTGGTGCACACACGCATTTCTACAACGTCCTGCAGTGAGCTTTGTATTCTATAAAACGTTTTTAAAATCTACTTTATAGCTTGTAACTCACGGGAGGCTTCTTTTATTTTATTTGTATTCATAATCATTTGTATTTTTCGTCAGAATGTATTATGGCGCATTAGTTACCAATCTTTGTTCTCAAAAAACAGTGCATTGTGTGTCACGCATTCTGGTGGGATCAGGTTGGACCAAGGAGCCTCATTCACTTTACATTGGGGTTGTTTGCGTGGTGCCGACACGTAAATGTAACAGTTAGTGACTCCACCACGCAATGCGGTGTTAAGGAGTCGTGGTGGAGTCACGCAATCTGGTGAGATCATGTTGGCACAAACAGGACGTGTGGACATGCACTGATGAAGATTAAAAAGGACTTTAGTAGTTAGAAAAGGAGGAAAGAGAAATTAAACAGAAGACATGGAACATAAGAAAGCTGGGAATAAAGGAGAGGCAGGAAGGAGAAAGAGGAATTGGAAAAAGGAGGAGAAGAAAGATTCAAAACTATTGGGAAGTGATAGACACACTCTGAAAACCCTCTTCCACACACACACCTCAGTGCGCCTGACACAACTCATCACACACAAACCTGACCACAAATCAAGCTCCGAGGTCGAGAAGAAGGATGTTTGATGGTCGTAATCGAGATTAGAAAATCACCGACTGGGAAAGAAAAAGTGAGGAAAGAGAAGCAGGAAAGGAGAATGAATGAGGAAAGGAAACAAAGAGGAAAACTAATGACAGGAAACATTAGATGGGAAAGAAAGTAAAAGAGAAAGAGAAAGAAAAAGTAATGAAAGAGGAGAAGACTGAACGATGGTTTCAGAACAAAACGTGGTTTCAATCAGAAGAAGGATGTTTGATGGTCGTAATCGAGGGAGAGAAACTCCACCGACCGATGTTCTGCTCAGGAATGTGTTCATACGCACGCGTGCGCACACACACACACACACACACGCACACAAGTACACACACACACACACACACACACACACACACACACACACACACACACACACACACACAAGTACACACACAAAGCTCCTATTAGACTGTGGTTACTCTGGTTTACATCCAGTAATGCACACACGCACACACACGCACACACACACACACACAACGCTCCTATTAGACTGTGGTTACTCTGGCTCTGGTTACAAAAACAAAAACTACAAAAACTACAAAAAACTATAAAAACTATGCAACAGTCAATAACACCAAAAAACATGTTATGGAAACTGCAGGTTGAAAATGGTGAAGAACCCAATAAGATGTGTTTCGGCTTTACACAACGTTTCGACTTGAATTGCAAAACAATGACTTCATCCAAGCTTTGCCATTTACAACTAAATACACCTTTGTCTATAGGGCTTTGCTGGGATTTGGTCATAAACCATAGTCCAGGAGCTATTCATGGGGCTCGAATCACTACAATTCATCCTGGGTGGGACATTACAACCCAATCTCACGGCATTTCGTGTTATAGTCACGAAATTAATTAAATCTATTGATTCATGTTCACCATCACTTGGAAGACTGGAAGCTGTGTGGTTCATTAAAACATTTTCTTACTCAATATCTACCCTAAGCCTAACCCTATCCCTTTTATTTAAAATCGTATAATGTATAAGGTTTTTTTGCCGTCCGCGAAGAAAAGAAATGGGGCTCAGAGCCTCAGAATACTGAAATCTGTATTTAAAACAAAACATGTCCTTCTAATTTGTTATTATTTGGTGCAGGCACGAAACATACTACCAATATAAATACATTGCTTTTAAAATCGTTCTGTGTCCGAGTACTGAAATCAGTTTTTTAAAAATATTTTTCCTTCAAATGTGTTATTATTTACATTGCTTTTAAAATCGTTCTGTGTCACACGAAAAAAGATTGAAAATGGTGTTGGTGAGCACGAATCAATAGATTAATTTCGTGACTATAACACGAAATGCCGTGAGACTGTGTTGGACATTAATGTGTACCGAATTTCATGGTAATCCATCCTTCAGTTAAAGAGACATAAGGACAAATTACGTCTTCATTGTGGCCTTAGAGAAAAAGTCAAGGAATGGTACAAAACCAGTCAAAGTTATACATTTTAAGAAGATGTCAACGATGCTTATAAGTAACGTCGATATCAAAGATGGGTCAATGTGATTGTGGTGTCTTCACTGGGTCTTGAATGTCTTATTCTGATATTTATTCCTCAGCCTGTATCGTTTATTTTCTATTATGTACTCCTATCAATCTTACTTTTTCTCTGTCTTATTACTCTCCATTAATTTCTTCTCTATTTCTACCCAAATTTGCCATCTTCCTCCTTCATTCCTTTCTGCGAAAATGAAACTTTTTTTGCATCCTTGCATCATTTGTCACACTGCCTTATAAACTCATTTTGTATTTTATATCTTCTCTTACAGAAATCAGTGCCAGTGGAGCCGTCCGCCAGGCTTTACCCAAAAGAAGCGCCGTGCTAACGGAGGAGTTGAAGGATTAGAGGATAATCCAGGGTAGGTAGAAGTCCCTCCTGTGGAGAGGTGCCCCTATTCTTCTCTGATATCCAAGACGCAGGCTGCTACTGGGATTACGGCGTTAAACTAATTACCTTTAAAGACTCCAAAATTGGCAGATTTTGTCCCTGTTGTGTTTTTAAAAAAGCTAATATTATCTGAAGCCTGAGGGTGCTGGCTGCTGTATTTGTTTTACTCAGAAAACAGAAGAAGCAAGAGCAACAGGATCACAGAGAGGTCAGCTGGATACAAACATATGTGCAGATAAAATGAGCTTTGCCCGAGGGTCCAGATAAACAAGAGGAGTCAGAGGAGCGACCCCCTCTGAGCTGTGGTCAAAAGTCTTTAACAGGATTACAGCTAAGGACAAAACACCCAAGCTTTTCCGTAAGCACACAGCCAGAGTAATTAATGGCCCCAAGTGTATTTCTGTTTTTCAACCTTTTTTGAGCCACGGTGAATCTTTTACATTAAACAAACCAACAACCAAAAAAGTTACAAAAGGACACATTGAAGCCTAAAACAGCGTAATATATATATATGACAATTTAATGACAAGTCTCTCAATTTGGCGACAAGTTCAGCTACTAAGAAGCTATAGCTTTGAGAGCTCTCTCTCTCTGGTTTTTCTCAAAATAGAGGTGTTTGTTGTGAAAGGAAAAATGCAGCTCTGTTTGGACCATGGTTAGCATTGATAGCTTTTCCCCACATCTAGCAAACGGTACAGTCGGATCCCCGGTGAAAGTGAATTACTAACGAAAGATTACATCCGCTGTTTTCACCATTTTCCTTTCTTTCGACCACCACTCATACTAGGCTCTTCATCTGGGTTAGAATTGTATCTGCGACCCACCTCAAAAACCAAATGTTTCCACAAACTCTCACACGCATCACTTTATTCTATTTGCAGCAACTAAATCATTTTTGTTTTGGACTAATTCTTTCACACACACATACGGGTTTTGGGCCGAGGGCGACACCGTACTTCCGGTATCAACCATTTCACACGAGGTGCATACAGAATATCATAGTCGATTGCCTTAATCAATATAGTCAACTCTAAAATACCACATATATGCATTGGCATGATAATATTATTGTGACAAGTGGGGTATTCACCTGGTGTTTCCAGAAGATAGACGTAGATGCAGCCAAAATCGACCGAAGGCCACTTTTGAGGGTCGTAATTCCATACATTGTACATCCAACAACCCACACAGCTCTAGTTTACGCTGGTAACGACCTAGAGCACACCCCTCAAGTCCAGAGATGTAATCCGAAGACATGCAGCGATTTCTTCGGTCGTTAATTCAGAAAAAAAACCTAGTGCGCTCTGCCTGGCTACATAAGCTAGCTGTTTATATTAGCATTGCCAGGATTTTTGCACCTCCAGAAAAATGGCGTCTTTATAAAAACATATATGGCGCGTGTTGCATTGTGGGTAGCTGTGACGTCACTGTGTGTGAAAGAATGCACACCTGACTATCTCTCATGGCACACAGGTGTTTCGCTGCACAGTGGTTGAAAATCCCATACTGTAGGTTATCAATTAGAGGTTTTTTAACCTTTATGCAGCCAGACAATTGTTTCCCCTTCATTGAGTCGAGCCATTATGTCTGTGACCGCTCTCACGGGGGAGTTGTAACCAGAGAGGTGGCCTGTTGCTTCAGTTCATGGGAACATGCACACAATCCCTGCAGGCTCACGGCATCTTATATTGAACATCACACCTCGGTATACTGGTCCCTGGCGTCCGCTCAGCGCTGGTATGTGCTGCGTTTCCTCCCAGATGCCCCTCTTAAAACGCCAGCCGGGGGAAGTGAACCACAGGGCCTGGGACTGCGGTCAGGAGCAAATTAGTAGGGCTGCCTTGGACCTGACGCAATGCTCCGTCCCTTGAACCATAGCAGGTCATTAATGAAGCCAGACGAGGCTGTGCATGCGTGGGAGGGCTGCAGACATGAAGCTGCTGCAGTGGAAAGCCTTTAAAGAGAACCAGAGCTCCACGTCGGGGCTGCTTTATGCCATCAAAATATTTTCAAATTGGAGATCCATTACTCTGCTGGCAAAGAACAACACATGAGAAAAAAGGGCAATTTTTTGGTCTGCTTTCATTACAGAGTTACGGAGTCATGGAGCTCCAGAACGGATCCGCAGGAAAAGGCTGTCAGTCAATTAAAAAATATAGCTGAATGTGTCATTTCATAATTATATTAAACAACTGTGTAAGCTTAAATAGCTTTAACCTCCAAGTAGTTGGTAAAAAAGGCATTTTGCGATATAAATTAATTTATTTATTAGAAAGCTAGAAAGTTACTTTACTGTACGTTAGCTAGCCTGTTTTGTTAGCGTTAGCTTTACAGCCAAACTGCTTTAGCTACGTTTACAAGAGTTTATACAGCAACAGAATAGAAGTATACAGCATTAAATGATATGGCTGATTATAATTTACTGCACTAAAGTAAGCTTTATTTACCATTTTAACAAGGTAGCTAGCTAAAAGACTGGTGCTAGTTAAGTTGTGTTTAGCTTTCAGTTAAGCTAGCTAGCCACACGGTCATATTATTCAACCCAGTCTCACGGAATTTCGTGTTGGAGTCACAAAATTAATTGAATCTATTGATTCGTGTTCACCAACACGATATTCGCATTTTTTTCGTGTCACACAACGATTTTAAAAGCAATGTATTTCTATTGGTAGTAGGCCTATGTTTCGTGCCTGCACCACGTCTTTTTGCCCGGTCGGGTCTTGGAAGACCAGAAGCTGTGTGGTTCATAAAAAAAATGTCTTACTCAATATCTTACCCTAAGCCTAAGACATTGTATAATGTCAGAGTTGTTTTGCCGTCCGCGAGGAAATGGGGCTCAGAGCCTCAGAATACTGAAATCTGTATTTTTTAAAAATCTGTTTTTCCTTTTAATTTGTTATTATTTACATTGCTTTTAAAATCGTTCTGTGTGACACGAAGAAAATGGCGAAATCGTGTTGGTGAACACGAATCAATAGATTATTTCCTGACTATAACACCAAATGCCGTGAGACTGTGTTGTATTATTGCTCAACTGATCCTAAACACACACAAACAGGGAATAAATGTAAAAAATAAATAGAAAATGAAAGAATAGATAAACAGAAACCTAAACAGTAGAAACATGAATACAAAAATAATTGTTTAATTTATATCATCAACATATTGAAAGTTATGGAAAACACTTTCTCTCTCTTTTAACCAACTGATTGATGATTAAAAGTGCATTTTTTAACACAGTAGCCTATGATTGGTTCTCAATATTTGAGACGTCTGATACTGTTTACTACCGTCTATAGCTAAGCAGCAGCTGTGATTTTCTTATCAGGAAACGTCATATCTCTTCCTATCTCCCTGACTTTGCTTGTTTATAAACAAATCTAATCCTGTTGAATGAGGTCTGCTGCTCAGCCTTAAAGTGTGATAAGTATTTTCAGGGAAATGTAAAATGAACTTTGTGTAACCTTCATGGCAGACAAAGCAGGACAAAATGGAAGCAGGAATTCCCTGAAAAGTCCAACCATTTTATGGACCAGAAGCAGACTTTGGGGTTTGCTGCACAGAGGAGTGACTGTGGTCTAAATTTAGACGGTTCCAGCCCATTGGACTTTAGGAATCCTAAAATCCTGCAGAAAGCCAGATGTAGTCTAGATACAGTATGGAGAATTAGTAACTGAATCTGCACAGAATATAAACTGCAAATGTCATCCCCTCAAAATCAAATACATCCCTGTCTACATTTTAACGATAGATGTTTTTTCCCTTGTTGTTTTCTCTCGATAGATGGTCCGTTGGTGCAACCGCAGAACCGTTTGCAGCTGGACACAGAACCTATTTCTGAGCTGATGTCGACAAAGCCAAAGCCCAAAGCAAGCGGGGGAAAATAGGCGATCTTACCACACACCAACCGGCTGCTTCCAGGAACACAACTACACAGTGTTTCACCTCAATTTATGGCCCTTTAATCCTGCCAGCTATGCATCAAAACCAGCTACGAAGAGAGGGACACAGTTTGGCCTGCGCTTGATAAACTGAGATAATATTCAAGCGCATCTGGCACTGAAGACTTTGGGAGTTCAGCTTCTCAGAAAATTACACGGTTTCAAGCTCTTGGAATAACATTTCAGAGCTATTTTTTAAGATTTGGACTGTCGATGACTTTGGGATAATCTAAGAGGAGAGAACACAACGTTCAGTTTGGCCATTCAGTAGGAATAAAGGTTGATTTTGAGCAAATATTGTGCCATTCAATTCCAACGTGTTACAAAGAGTGGGACAGAGTTTAGCTTGGGTATGATAGACTGAGAAGATATTCAAGAACTATTTGGTGCTGCAAGCCTGGAGTTCAGATTTCCTCAAGGTTTCAAGATCTTGGAATTTTGTCTACATTTTAAACTGTCAATGATTTTTGGCATAATCTAAGAGGGGAAAATTGGACATTCAGTTTTGCCATTCAGTGGGATTTAAAGGCAACTCCAAACAAAGTAGATTTTCAGGAGCCATTCACCTCTCGGGATCATGAATCTTCAGGAGAAGCTGTCCGGCCTCAAAGGTCTGGTCTCACAGTCTCACAGCAAGCGTCGCTATAAAGGCGACCTCACGCTGGAGATGATCAGCCCTCCTTTGGGAGATTTCCGCCACACCATGCATGTTGGCCGTGGAGGCGATGTGTTCGGGGACACTTCCTTCCTCAGCAACCATGGAGGCACTGGGAACAAAGGGAACAACGGGAACAAGGGGAACAACAGCGGGAACAACGGCAACAATGGGAACGGTGGGAACAACGGGAACAACGGGGAAACGGATTCTATCTCCAGTCCAGACAACAAGATCGGAGCGTTCTTCTCCAGGACGCTCCGTCAGATCAGAAGGGGATCTGAAAACAGACCGACTGGAGGATGCAAAGAGCTGTCGCCTCCACCTCCGGTCGTTTCTCCCATCATCAAGAACGCCATCTCCCTCCCCAGCCTGGATGTGGAGATGCCCAATGGGAGTCCCACCACCAAAGTGCTCTTCCCCAGTTCTCATAGCACGCCGGAGGAGAGGAAAAGCTCTTATGGTGAGTATAGAAAAAACATGTTTTAAACAAAGCTGCTTGTATGAAAACGTTGACATCAATCTATGAAACAACTATGAGAAAGTTACCAAACCACAGAAAATTACTACCAAACTGTTTGTCAGTTATTTTAAAAGCTTTTAAGGGTCTTTCAAGCTACCAGCAATGGTTTTGATATTCTAAGGAAAAGCTCTTATGGTGAGTATAATATTAAGCAGTGGCGAACCGTGTCTATCACAACTGGACCTTCTGTAGACACACCCCCCGCCGTCAATCCAAACGTACGCTCTCATTCAGTGCAACGGCCAGGGCATTCTATCAAGGATGTAGAATACCTTGGTTGAAGGATATTCTACCCAGAGACCCAGAACAAGATCTGATTGGTTGCTTTATTTTCTAACACAAAACCACTGAAATGCGTAGAGCATGGTCCGAGAAGGACAAACAAATCAACGTAACACTGACTGTAATATTACAGATTGACAACACAGATACAATTCTCATTTATTCATTTTATATACATTTTATTTATATATACATTTTATTTATAAAAGTGTTCCAGGGTATTCTCTGAATACCTTGAAGGCACTGACGGTTCGCCACTGGTATTAAGTAAAGCTGCTTTTATCAAGATTCTGACACCAATTGATAAAAAAAACGATATGTTTGAAAGTGAAAAAGCCACAAACAATTATTACCCAACTTTTCCTCAGTTCTTAAAAGCATTTTAGGGTCTTTAAGATTCTGGTAACAGTTTTGTTGTGCGCTATCTGCCCATATGAGCATTAGAAACCTGTTATTGTTGTTACGAAAGAGTATGACTTGGTATTGTTTAAAACTTGTCTATACCAGCTCCAATACCACTTCCCTAAATGAATACCGATACTGACAAAATACTTTGGTTAATGCATACCATGCTTACCACACTACAGATTGTATGGGATGTAGCTTCTCTGGTAGTGGGTCAATCTCACTTGACAAAAACTTAAACCAAAATACCCCAAAACATTGCAAATAGTTTTTTTTTTCCTAGATCTAAAGCACCAGTGTTTGGATAACTGAAAAAGTTCAATATGTCTTTACGGGAAATGTCTCAATGATGTCATTGTGTTAGCTTTTGCGCGGTCATGCAAGAATTAGAAAAAAATTCACCACCAAAAACCCCAAATTGGTCTCAAGGATTAAGGGGTTGTGGTTTCTTTTGATTTAAATGGCACGTATACTGAACAAAGTGAAAGGTCAAATTAGTTAACTGGCATTAACTGGAAACTGTAGTAAAGAGTGCAGCCATCTGTGGAGCTGCAGTGAAACTCATCCATCAGCTGCTCTCAGTTATCTAGACACATTTACACGAGATGTGCTTATGAATCACCTTGACTCATAATCGCCCCACTGATAACACACAGAGATCCAGACAGAGCTGTCTGAGGCTCACATTAACAACCCCCCCCCTCCGTCCGTGTGTGTGTGTGTGTGTGTATGTGTGTGTATGTGTGTGTTTGTATGGACTAGTCGCTGGTGTGTGTACATGCCATGTTTTAACTGGAGTTAATTTACTCTCCAGAGGTGGAAGAAGTACTCAGATCCTTTACTTAATTAAAAGTAGAAATACCATGGTTTTTAAATACTCATTACAAGAAAAAGTCCAGATTTGGAAATGGTACTTAAGTACAACTGAGAAGTATTATCTGCAAAATGTACTGCAAGAATCAAAAGGAAAAGTACTCAGTATGCCAAATGAATATTTTCACCCATAAACACATGGGATATCATTTTTACTTTGTTTACTTTTAGCCAAATTATTAACAATTTTTAAGGGTAAGTGTTTTTAATATACTGGGTAGATAGGTAGTACAGTACTGCATCATATCGTAAAAGCATACTGTGTGTTTTTATAAGTAGAAAGTAGCTAGAAAGTATGAGTTTCAAACAAATATAGTGGAGTAAAAAGTACAATAGTTGTCTTGTAGTGGAGTAGAAGTATATGAAACAAAAAGAGGAAATACTCAAAATTACAAGGATGATACACATGGATTATTACACCTTTAATGGGAGACTCAGCAGGTTTTATCGAAACATCTGTTTCCACTGATTACTTCTTTCTTCCTCTCCTAAAAAAAGTATTAATTTGTGAAACAAGACACTGTTTTCTTATGTTGGTGTGAAAAACCTCCAGACTCTCCGACCCTTTACGAATGGCTTTGAGGGTGCTGTGGTAATTTGAGATGTTCCCTCATGAAGGCGGTGAGTGTGTGACTTGTTAAGTGATCTGGCAGATGATTCACTGTTAACACGGAGAGCGACTCAGCACTTTGCAGCCTGGGGTTTTCTCACTTTTCATCATCAGACACAGATATCCTCTGGGTTAACATCGCCCCCTGGTGGAATTACATGATACACCTTGTGACTCCATAAGAATCTGAGTTCGATTTCAGTGTTTTAGATAAGACATAAGTACAGTACAGAAGCCTTAAGATGCAAGTGAGAAAGATCTGGTTTCTAAGTCTGATTTAAGGTTTTTTATTTTACCCTGAGTTTATGTTCCTTCTACCAAAACAGGTTAATAAACAATAGATAAACACAAGTAAACAAAACACATTCCCATCTACCCAGCTAGTGTGTCGTTTTTTCTTTAAATAGTGCGTTGTGTAGCTTGTTGTGTGTTGATCGATGATTTCAAGAAAATAACTTTAAAAAGAAAAGGTTAGTTAGCTAGTTCAGTAGGAAAACTGGTGAAAGCCTAAAGCAATGCAACACATACAACTGGCATCTGAAACAACTTTAGGTTCATTATGTTATTGACATCCCGACAATTCCTCTGTTGTGCCATCACTGCCCTATGCTGGAATATGCTAGCTACTGCAGGGTGAAAAAGACTGACATTAACCTCACTCCTGTGCACGAATGAGTCCTAAAACCTGGCAATGAGTTAGCATTTTACCACTTCTGGAGCCCTAATATAGAAGCCAGACTTTTTGTTATCGTGTTTGTGGGTAAGGATGCTAAACATTTTCACATCTGTTCTTAAAGAGGCCCTATTAAGCTGATGTTCAGGAGTATATCAGTATGTAGTGTCTCTACTTTAAAGAGTCCTCTCCTGCTGATGTTCAGGTGTATATCAGTATGTAGTGTCTCTACTTTAAAGAGTCCTCTCCTGCTGATGTTCAGGTGTATATCAGTATGTAGTGTCTCTACTTTAAAGAGTCCTCTCCTGCTGATGTTCAGGTGTATATCAGTATGTAGTGTCTCTACTTTAAAGAGTCCTCTCCTGCTGATGTTCAGGTGTATATCAGTATGTAGTGTCTCTCCTTTAAAGAGTCCTCTCCTGCTGATGTTCAGGTGTATATCAGTATGTAGTGTCTCTACTTTAAAGAGTCCTCTCCTGCTGATGTTCAGGTGCATATCAGTATGTAGTGTCTCTACTTTAAAGAGTCCTCTCCTGCTGATGTTCAGGTGTATATCAGTATGTAGTGTCTCTACTTTAAAGAGTCCTCTCCTGCTGATGTTCAGGTGTATATCAGTATGTAGTGTCTCCACTTTAAAGAGTCCTCTCCTGCTGATGTTCAGGTGTATATCAGTATGTAGTGTCTCTACTTTAAAGAGTCCTCTCCTGCTGATGTTCAGGTGTATATCAGTATGTAGTGTCTCTACTTTAAAGAGTCCTCTCCTGCTGATGTTCAGGTGTATATCAGTATGTAGTGTCTCCACTTTAAAGAGTCCTCTCCTGCTGATGTTCAGGTGTATATCAGTATGTAGTGTCTCTACTTTAAAGAGTCCTCTCCTGCTGATGTTCAGGTGTATATCAGTATGTAGTGTCTCTACTTTAAAGAGTCCTCTCCTGCTGATGTTCAGGTGTTTATCAGTATGGAGTGTCTCTACTTTAAAGAGTCCTCTCCTGCTGATGTTCAGGTGTATATCAGTATGTAGTGTCTCTACTTTAAAGAGTCCTCTCCTGCTGATGTTCAGGTGTATATCAGTATGTAGTGTCTCTACTTTAAAGAGTCCTCTCCTGCTGATGTTCAGGTGCATATCAGTATGTAGTGTCTCCACTTTAAAGAGTCCTCTCCTGCTGATGTTCAGGTGTATATCAGTATGTAGTGTCTCTACTTAAAGAGTCCTCTCCTGCTGATGTTCAGGTGTATATCAGTATGTAGTGTCTCTACTTTAAAGAGTCCTCTCCTGCTGATGTTCAGGTGCATATCAGTATGTAGTGTCTCTACTTTAAAGAGTCCTCTCCTGCTGATGTTCAGGTGTATATCAGTATGTAGTGTCTCTACTTTAAAGAGTCCTCTCCTGCTGATGTTCAGGTGCATATCAGTATGTAGTGTCTCTACTTTAAAGAGTCCTCTCCTGCTGATGTTCAGGTGCATATCAGTATGTAGTGTCTCTACTTTAAAGAGTCCTCTCCTGCTGATGTTCAGGTGTATAACAGTATGTAGTGTCTCAACATGTCTCCATGCTTTAATGTTCAAAAAGCTCTTTATTTTTCTCATACTGCCTGTACTGCAGCACCTCTTTTCACCCTCTGTCTGAAACCAGAGCCCAGTCTGCTCTGATTGGTTAGCTGGCCGGCTCTTTTGTGATTGGTCAGCATAAGTTTCATGTGTTGATATTTATTTATCTTCTCTTCAGGTCTGGAGTCTGGTTTCGTCACGCTGCCTCGTCTCTCTCGTTCTGAGCGCCAGCAGCCGTCCATCTCCCTCCCCACTTCCTGCCCTCCTAACATCCATCGCGGCTCTCTAACCGACGAAACCGACGCCATCTTGTGCTCCGCCTCCATCTTGACCTCTGACCCCAAACCCTCCTTCTCCGCCTACTCTGACTCCCTGTCCTCCCTCACCTCTCTGGACACCTTCACCTTCGACCTGGGCCCTTCCTTAATGAGCGAGGTGTTCGGGGTGATCGACGGCTGCCAATCAGACGATCACACTCCCGTCTGGGAGGGAGAGGAGGCGGGATCAGCGTGTGGGATGACCAATGACGGCTCAGAGATGGATTCGGCCACTATTTCCTATGTGGATTCGCTGCTTAGGGAGGATTTTGGCGGCAGGAAGAGCCCGCATGGTGGCGAGTGGGAGGAGGAGGAAGTGATGGAGGTGAATGGAGTAAAAGATGTGGTGATGGGGTCTCCTGAAAGAGCCAAATTGGGTGTTGGGATGGAGATGGAGCGCTTCCAGAGTGCTACAGATGTGCTCGCTCGCCACTATGGAGTCAGCTTAAAGGGACAGAGCCGGGTGGAGGTCGCAGATTCACAGATAATCGCCAGCCGCCCGAAGAACAAAACTCCCTACAACTACATGGACGATGAGGATGAAATCAAAGTGTAGTCAGAGATATTTTGACTCAAATCGATCGACGAGAGATTGTGGTTGACGAGGCAGGATGACCATGAAATCCTTAATATTGGATGCTTTAAGGATGTTGATGTTGCTGAATGTATCTTAAACCCGAGGGGTGAATGCTTGTTTCAAAAAGACTTGAAGCGTGGAAAAACAAGGACATAGAATGTAGTTTAGATCTTCTTAAAGGACACGCAACATTTCCCTACAACTACACGGACGATGAGGATGAAATCAGTGTAATCAGAGATAGTTTTCGACTCTTAAAAACTTGTTAAATGTATGATTTTTCTGTAATCAAATCGATCCTTCAATGTGGTTGACGAGTGTTGGTGTTGCTGAATGGATCTTAAAGGAGTGTAAGATGTTTCCAAGCCCGAGGGATGAATGCTTGTTTCAAAAAGACTTAGTAAAAGGAGGCGTGGAAAAGCGAGGATGTGCCACAGAATTTAGTCTAGATTGTCTCAATGGAAACAAAGCCCGTCACTTTATGTTTCACACTTCCTCCCATATTGCTGCAGATAGCTGTAGCAATCTTTTAAAAAAGTGGATGCAAGCACCAAAATTCATCTTTCCCAAATGTCATATTATTTTAAAAAGACCATAAACCACTTGAATTAAAAAAAGTAATTGCAACTATTCTCCAAGATGGCTGCCATTTCCAGCTGATAAAAACCATATTTTACCAAATCATTTTAACCAGTGGATCACTTTTGGTGATTTTAAGATTGAATATCTCTATTTGATAAGTCAAATCTTCTAAGATTTTGTGTGATTTTAACCACAACACGTTTACATTTGGGGTTGTTTGTTAGAAAGCGTCTGAATTTGTTTCTACGTGTTCAGAAATGTATGATTTGACAATCGAGATCATTCATCCAGGGCAAGTAAACGTGATTTTATGGCAAAGAAAACGGCATTTCCAAGCCAATATTGGTGGCCATCATGACAATTGAAGATATATTGGGTGTTTCTCAATGTCGAGTACGCTTGCTTGGTAGCACATGTCTTCCAAGTCACTTGCTTCAGAAGCGAGGCAAGAATACTTCCTGGCATTTGGAAAACAAAGAGTGGAGAGGCCCCGTCTTACATTTTCCGCCACAGATTTTGTGAAATTGGTCCGTGCGCAAAGCATTGTGGGGCTTTTAAGACCACGGAGTCTACACATGTGCAGCCTAGAAATGTCTCGCTACAAAGTACGCCGGGCTCCGTAGAATTCCAAGTATGCTGGACATTGGAACAGTATTTCGGCGGCACTCGATGACGTAGTATGCTTGAAATAGTGGCTCTGGAGCAGCTTTACTCGACATTGAGAAACACCCCTTATGTTCCAATTGTAGTACTTGTATCCACTTTTGAAATATTTCCCTGATTTATTTGATTCTCTGCAGCACAACAAGGTGGAAAGCCTCTCCATGGTCTCTAATGAGAGAGGAAGTGAGGATTAAACAAATGGATTTAATCTTTTTACAACCTTAGGGCCTCATTTCAATCTCCTGTCGACTCCTCTCACTCAGGAAAACACTACCAGGACACACAAAGGGAAAGGAAATGTGGATTCTCAGGCCTCAGCAGATTAGAAATCGACATGGACTAAGGGAATATGTAAAGTATTTCTAGTACTAGATGCAACTGAAGCTTATGACCATATACATGCTCATTTTATGCTGCAGACCTTCCATATAGAGACCCCATGCACCTTTAATGATCTTGAAGTCTGACTCCTGTATTGTCATTTAAATGTCCTTTTATACGACTGTACATAAAGATATTAACTGACCTCCTATAAATATGTACCTACAGTAAGAGCACCTGCAGCAGTACCTAGTGCAATTCACATCCATATGCTGCAGACAATACCAATGATATATTATGATGATATTAATGACAATAAACATGTTTTTAATTAGGTTGGATATGCATTTATTTACAGTGTTTAATGTAGGCTGGAAAGGTGGTTGTAAAAACATTGTTATTTACATTAAACCTCAATCCATCAAGGTTCATACATGTTTTTACCATACTTAAACTCATATGATACTTTTATTTTGTAAATGTATAGAAAAATACTCCCTAAAAAACAACAAACGGCAATCAACATTGGTTTTGGACGGCTGGATTTCATATGAACTGCATAGCTATTATTTTAAGCTTGAACTTCTGTGCATTCTGGGAAAGATAGGACACCTGGAGCTTAAGAATAAATAAATAAAGCTGGTTCCAGAGAGGTTTACAGGCCAGAAAAATTGATTTAAGCGGCAAAACTTGAATATATTGAACGGCAAAGATTGAAAATATAAAAATATATAGTAACTAAGACATTTTCAGATCCTTTTTAAAGAACTACAACAAGAAAATCCATCTGATTAAGGAAAAAAACTAAAACGTTGACTTTATTTAAATGTATTATGTCAACAAATGTCACATAACTGTATTAGGTTAGTAGAAAGCAATGCTATCAAGTTTAAATAGAAAATGCAACTTAATATTATTGCCTTCAACTAACCTCATTATGTGAAAGTTGTTGACATTTAAAATATAATTAAAGTCAACGTTTCATGTGAATATGTCCTCACTGAACTCAAGAAGGAACCTCTTTGGCCTGTGAAGGTGGAGGAAGTGGAGGAGGGCACTTTGGAGCTTTGAGTCCAGGCTTTTTGGAGGGGGGAGGCTTTCTGAGGTTGGCCTCCACACCTCGGGGTGCCGCTATGGGCGGGGCCGTAGAGGGGGTCTTTGTGTCCGTGGGAGAGGTGCGGAGAGGGGGGGGCTGGAGCTTCGGGGGGGCCGGTGGTTTGGGTTTAGAGAACTGGACTGAACACGGCTCGTTCCCCACGTTAGCTTTGACCACGCTGAAAGATCTCTTTGCTGTAAAAGAAAGGAGTCAAAGTCAACTTTATTGTCAATCTTTCAGTTTGTGTGTACAGACCGAGAGATCCAAATAGCGTTTCCCACAAACCTGAATACAAAAATATATAAAAATATGTATACACACAATCAACAGACACATAGAGGGATTATAAAGACATCTTCTGCGAGACGACAGATTAAAGGGGCCGTATTAAGCTGATGTTCAGGTGTATATCAGTATGTAGTGTCTCTACTTTAAAGAGTCCTCTCCTGCTGATGTTCAGGTGTATATCAGTATGTAGTGTCTCTCTACTTTAAAGAGTCCTCTCCTGCTGATGTTCAGGTGTATATCAGTATGTAGTGTCTCTACTTTAAAGAGTCCTCTCCTGCTGATGTTCAGGTGTATATCAGTATGTAGTGTCTCTACTTTAAAGAGTCCTCTCCTGCTGATGTTCAGGTGTATATCAGTATGTAGTGTCTCTACTTTAAAGAGTCCTCTCCTGCTGATGTTCAGGTGTATTCAGTATGTAGTGTCTCTACTTTAAAGAGTCCTCTCCTGCTGATGTTCAGGTGTATATCAGTATGTACTGTAGTGTCCTCTACTTTAAGAGTCCTCTCCTGCTGATGTTCAGGTGTATATCAGTATGTAGTGTCTCTGCTTTAAAGAGTCCTCTCCTGCTGATGTTCAGGTGTATATCAGGTATGTAGTGTCTCTACTTTAAAGAGTCCTCTCTTGCTGATGTTCAGGTGTATATCAGTATGTAGTGTCTCTACTTTAAAGAGTTCCTCTCCTGCTGATGTTCAGGGTGTATATCAGTATGTAGTGGTCTCTACTTTAAAGAGTCCTCTCCTGCTGATGTTCAGGTGTATATCAGTATGTAGTGTCTCTACTTTAAAGAGTCCTCTCCTGCTGATGTTCAGGTTGTATATCAGTATGTAGTGTCTCTACTTTAAAGAGTCCTCTCCTGCTGATGTTCAGCGTGTATATCAGTATGTAGTGTCTCTACTTTAAAGAGTCCTCTCCTGCTGATGTTCAGGTGTATATCAGTATGTAGTGTCTCTACTTTAAAGAGTCCTCTCCTGCTGATGTTCAGGTGTATATCAGTGATGTAGTGTCTCTACTTTAAAGAGTCCTCTCCTGCTGATGTTCAGGGTGTATATCAGTATGTAGTGTCTCTACTTTAAAGAGTCCTCTCCTGCTGATGTTCAGGTGTATATCAGTATGTAGTGTCTCTACTTTAAAGAGTCCTCTCCTGCTGAATTTCAGGTGTATATCAGTATGTAGTGTCTCTACTTTAAAGAGTCCTCTCCTGCTGATGTTCAGGTGTATATCAGTATGTAGTGTTCTACTTTAAAGAGTCCTCTCCTGCTGAATGTTCAGGTGCATATCAGTATGTAGTGTCTCTACTTTTAAGAGTCCTCTCCTGCTGATGTTCAGGTGTATATCAGTATGTAGTGTCTCTACTTTAAAGAGTCCTCTCCTGCTGATGTTCAGGTGCTATATCAGTATGTAGTGTCTCTACTTTAAAGAGTCCTCTCCTGCTGATGTTCAGGTGTATATCAGTATGTAGTTTCTCTACTTTAAAGAGTCCTCTCCTGCTGATGTTCAGGTGTATATCAGTATGTAGTGTCTCTACTTTAAAGAGTCCTCTCCTGCTGATGTTCAGGTGTATATCAGTATGTAGTGTCTCTACTTTAAAGAGTCCTCTCCTGCTGATGTTCAGGTGTATATCAGTATGTAGTTTCTCTACTTTAAAGAGTCCTCTCCTGCTGATTTTCAGGTGTATATCAGTATGTAGTGTCTCTACTTTAAAGAGTCCTCTCCTGCTGATGTTCAGGTGCATATCAGTATGTAGTGTCTCTACTTTAAAGAGTCCTCTCCTGCTGATATTCAGGTGTATATCAGTATGTAGTGTCTCTACTTTAAAGAGTGCTCTCCTGCTGATGTTCAGGTGTATATCAGTATGTAGTGTCTCTACTTTAAAGAGTGCTCTCCTGCTGATATTCAGGTGTATATCAGTATGTAGTGTCTCTACTTTAAAGAGTGCTCTCCTGCTGATGTTCAGGTGTATATCAGTATGTAGTGTCTCTACTTTAAATAGTCCTCTCCTGCTGATATTCAGGTGTATATCAGTATGTAGTGTCTCTACTTTAAAGAGTGCTCTCCTGCTGATATTCAGGTGTATATCAGTATGTAGTGTCTCTACTTTAAAGAGTGCTCTCCTGCTGATATTCAGGTGTATATCAGTATGTAGTGTCTCTACTTTAAATAGTCCTCTCCTGCTGATATTCAGGTGTATATCAGTATGTAGTGTCTCTACTTTAAAGAGTGCTCTCCTGCTGATATTCAGGTGTATATCAGTATGTAGTGTCTCTACTTTAAAGAGTGCTCTCCTGCTGATGTACAATTTGTTGGAGCGCCAGCCAATAGAAGCGTCAATGTTAAAGTGTGATGTCACTACTTTGGGATGTTAGCCTCTCCAGGCCATTTACATACACAACCATTTATATAACACACTACAGGGAAGGGAACACCCCAAAAAGCATAATAGGGCCTCTTTAATGCAAAACAATATTATTAAATATGTATTTTTGTCAGTCTGGATCTTAGATTTCCAGTTTTGGATGTTTATCAGTTCTTAGACAACCTACAGCTGCTTTTTAAGTTCAAGGAATAAAGTCAAACATGTATCTACTGCTAACGATTGAGATATAAACATTTTCTTTTTCCAAAAACAATCCTGGAAGACAAACTAAACTTACATTCCAAGAATGGGAAATCAGTGTTGTAGTCAGACAAACATATTGTTTATCAGGATAAGAGGACTTATAATTGAAAGTACTTCCTCCTCTACCAGTGACTAAGGCGGTTAAAACAATGCCAGTGATGACGCATGACCCTAGAGATTTATATTTTGGTCAGTGGTGTGACATTTCCTGTTTCCTGTTTACTTCCTAGTTGTTACAACAAGAGCAGAAGATTTATTGTATCTCTGTCAGTTTAACCCGACAAGTCACAAGTGGGAAGAAGTTAATTATCTGAACATTACACTATAAAAAGAGGCATATAATGAGACGTGCTAAGGGCAGACAAACAACATGGAAAAGAAGTGGCTGCAGCGTCTGGAAGAAAATATGTTAAGCAACTTACAGCAACACAATCACGCTTTACTTTAGGAGAGCTTCCTTATGTGTGAAAAAGTTGGAAAAGTCTTGAAAAAATAACCATATACTCATTGGGTTAAAAGCTTGATTTCAAGAATTCAAACTCAACAGAAAGCCTTTAGGTAAGTTAAGGTGTTTAGTTTGAATGACTTCATTTAGTTTAGTACAACTGAAGTTATTGTTTAATTACATTTTGATAAAAATGTATTGAATAAGTGGTTGTACATTTAAACAAAACAAAAACATTTAACAAAACTACTGGCTGAGTTTCAGTGGCGATCCGTCAGGGCCCTCTAGGCCATCTCTGAGGGCCTGAGATATTCTACTAAATAATATTTAAAAACATTAAAAAAATATATATATATTTCTTTTGTTATATTTTTCATTAGTTTTACCAAAATAACTTGATTTAATTGTATTTCAAATAACATTTCCAAAGAAATAAATCCTTCGAATCTGCCTATTCAGTTTCTGTTTGAATGTGAAGGGTTAAATGAAAGAAGCTCGTCTCTGCGAGTTACTGTGAAGAGAGGAGCTGTTGGACTTCCAGGCGGTCCAGCTATGAATTCACAGAGGGCCCGCTATAGTAACTGAACGAGAGAGTAATGTCAAATGACAGTACAATTGACCAATCATATCTTCCCTCTAAATGGGTGGGTTTTATTATCGCGGACTTTATGACAAGTTCCGCCCGCTGTGAACAACTTCCTGTCAACAGCGTAAACTCGCCTTCAAAATAAAAGCATGCCAAATTACACTTAAGACATACAACTGCAACGAAAGTAACAAACACAATGTAATATCCTTTTCAATTTCAAAGAACACACATTGGGTTATTTACAGGTGTTGTTTTGTGTGGTAGAGGGTCGCTGTCATTAATGCGTTTTGCACCCCAGGCCGTTGTTTTGATATGCCGCTGAGGTATACGCTGTGACGTAATAACTCTTTTTTTTCTTCTTCTTTTTTTCGAGGGAAGGGGTGGGGGTCAGAGGGCCTAGGTATACAATTCACGGCTCGCCACTGGTGAGTTTAAAAAATAAAAAAAGGTTGAAAGTCCAGGGTTTTATTTACCAAATCACCACCCCTTTTTCATAAGCTGACTTGTGTGGGCGGACCTGCATCCATGGGAGCTGAGAGTCCTTATATATCCGCTTCAATTCAACCATTCTTCAAAAATATATGTCTCCAGGTAATAAAAGTGCAATAATATAAACCTGCAGTATGTTGTAATCCTACACAAGTAACCATTGGACAGCCATTGGGAGCATTGGACCACGTGTATCCACATTGGACTCACGTTTATACACTTTGTACCTACATTTATACACATTGGACTCACGTTTGTAAGGCAAGGTGATCTTGACCAGAGCTCTTGGAGAGTCCGGAGGAGCCTCCAGAATCGGCTCCAGCAGGTTCTGATCGGCGCTCTGCTTCTGGGAGGGACTGCGGCTCTGACCCGGGTTTGGAGCGGATCCCGTTGCTTTAGGAGGAGCCGTGGAGCTGCAGGAGGGACTGGGATCGAGGGAGGAAGAGCTGCTGGATGATGTATTTTGAAGGTTTGGTGTTTCGTTGACAGGGCTCGCCCACATGGAGGTGCCGCTGCGACTTATAGAGCCAGACTTCACCAGGCAGAAGCTTCCACTGTCCTGAGAGGCTGTGCTGAAGGGGAGAAAAAGTTGAAATGGTCACTTACAGCTTACTATTTGTAGCCAATAGTGTGCAATCCATATACTATATATATAAGAAGTGGACGTAACCATTGGTTTGTGGCTTTTTAAACTTTGCATTTGGCCGTCACCATCTCGGTTTTTACCATAAGTGACGCAAGAGCAGCAAAGAAGCAAGATATTGTATGGTTCTTTAAAGGTGCCCTATTATACTGTTTTTCCTCAATATATTATAGGTCTCAGATATATACAAAACATGTCTCTGAAGTGTTTGGCTCCAAACACCAAACAGATCATTCCAGCATTACCCATAATCCCCTCTGTTTCAGCCCTGTTTCCAAAGTGCTGATTCTCTGTCTGTTACTTTAGATGAAAATAAGGAGCCCCTCCCCACGCCCCTCTGAGAGAGATTTGGTTAAAAATAACTCAATGGTGCTCTAGGAGGAGATTCAGGTGATAAGGGGGGGGGGGAGGGTACCTTGGTTGGTGATTGGCTAATGGTTACACAAGACAACACATCGCTATGACATCATAAAGTGGCCAAAATCTGATCAGCTCATTTTCAGACAGGTTTTTATAGAAATGGATCAAAAAGAGAGAGAATCTTTGTTCCTGAAACTTTCAGAGTCTCTTTCCACAGAGGGGACACATGTTGATTTGGAAGAGACATGAAGAAGAGGGGACACATGTTGATGTAGAAGAGACATGAAGAAGAGGGGACACAGTTGATGTAGAAGAGACATGAAGAAGAGGGGACACATGTTGATGTAGAAGAGACATGGAGAAGAGGGGACACATGTTGATGTAGAAGAGACATGAAGAAGAGGGGACACATGTTGATGTAGAAGAGACATGAAGAAGAGGGGACACATGTTGATGTAGAAGAGACATGGAGAAGAGGGGACACATGTTGATGTAGAAGAGACATGAAGAAGAGGGGACACATGTTGATGTAGAAGAGACATGGAGAAGAGGGGACACATGTTGATGTAGAAGAGACATGAAGAAGAGGGGACACATGTTGATGTAGAAGAGACATGAAGAAGAGGGGACACATGTTGATGTAGAAGAGACATGAAGAAGAGGGGACACATGTTGATGTAGAAGAGACATGAAGAAGAGGGGACACATGTTGATGTAGAAGAGACATGAAGAAGAGGGGACACATGTTGATGTAGAAGAGACATGGAGAAGAGGGGACACATGTTGATGTAGAAGAGACATGAAGAAGAGGGGACACATGTTGATGTAGAAGAGTCATGAAGAAGAGGGGACACGTGTTGATGTAGAAGAGACATGAAGAAGAGGGGACACATGTTGATGTAGAAGAGACATGAAGAAGAGGGGACACATGTTGATGTAGAAGAGACATGGAGAAGAGGGGACACATGTTGATGTAGAAGAGACATGAAGAAGAGGGGACACATGTTGATGTAGAAGAGACATGGAGAAGAGGGGACACATGTTGATGTAGAAGAGACATGAAGAAGAGGGGACACATGTTGATGTAGAAGAGACATGGAGAAGAGGGGACACATGTTGATGTAGAAGAGACATGAAGAAGAGGGGACACATGTTGATGTAGAAGAGACATGAAGAAGAGGGGACACATGTTGATGTAGAAGAGACATGAAGAAGAGGGGACACATGTTGATGTAGAAGAGACGTGAAGAAGAGGGGACACATGTTGATGTAGAAGAGACATGAAGAAGAGGGGACACATGTTGATGTAGAAAAGACATGGAGAAGAGGGGACACATGTTGATGTAGAAGAGACATGAAGAAGAGGGGACACATGTTGATGTAGAAGAGACATGAAGAAGAGGGGACACATGTTGATGTAGAAGAGACATGAAGAAGAGGGGACACATGTTGATGTAGAAGAGACATGAAGAAGAGGGGACACATGTTGATGTAGAAGAGACATGAAGAAGAGGGGACACATGCTGATGTAGAAGAGACATGAAGAAGAGGGGGACACATGTTGATGTAGAAGAGACATGAAGAAGAGGGGACACATGTTGATGTAGAAGAGACATGAAGAAGAGGGGACACATGCTGATGTAGAAGAGACATGAAGAAGAGGGGACACATGTTGATGTAGAAGAGACATGAAGAAGAGGGGACACATGCTGATGTAGAAGAGACATGGAAAAGTAAAAAAAACAAAAAACACAACCCTCTAATCAGAAAATATCGTGGAGCGACATGTCAAAACCACATAGGTCAAAACCCTAAAGCACACGCTGCTTTATCGTCTTTTTTACTCTAAATGAGAATATAATTTACAATATAACATCATGCAGTGCTGAGGAAGACTTGAAACTACAGATTGAGATCATAAACTCTGCAGGGAAAAGTTTACCGAGTTAATAAACTAAGAGAGAAGTGGGATCATTTTCTCATAGACTTCTATACAATCTGACTTATTTTTGCAACCAGTGGTATCGCCCCCCTGCTCGACATAAAAAATAATGCAAGTTGCAGGCGCTTCAGCATTTGCTTCACTTTCAGAACCCAAGATTTTTGGGTGTTTCTCAATGTCGAGGACGCTTCCTTGGTAGGACATGTCTTCCGAATCACTTGCTTCAGAAGCGAGGCAAGAATCCTTCCTGGCATTCGGAAAACGACGAGTGGAACAGGCGAGCAAGTGTGCGTCATATGAGAGGCCCCGCCTTACATTTTCCGCCACAGATTTTGGGAAATTGGTCCGTGCGCAAAGCATTGTGGGGATTTTAAGACCGCGGAGGATACACATGTGCAGCCTCGAAATGTCTCGCTCCGAAGGACGCCGGCCTCGGTAGAATTCCAAGGAGCCTGGACATTGGCACAGTCCTTCGGCGGGACTCGATGACGTAGCATCCTTGAAATAGTGGCTCTGGAGCATCCTTCCTTGACATTGAGAAACACCCTTTGTCATAATGTAACCAGATCATCTTGTTATGATTGTTATCATTGTCCCACGTTTTTTTTTGACAAGCATGCTTAGACAGAAAACGCCAACGTTATGCAGCAAAAAGGAACATCCTATTCTGGGGGCAAATGTTCAGGTTTAGCGATATGAACAAAAATCTCATATCACATTATGGCATTTGATACAAACCTAGAGCACACACTTATAATGTCATAATCTAAGCCAGAAGGTGTAATGATTGAGCAATTTGTTATCATAGAGCGGTACCTGTTTGACTTTGAGAGAGCCGTGTGATAGGAGGAGCAGGAGGAGGCTGTGGATGAGGTGGAGGAGACGGTTCTGCTCAGTTTATCCTTTTCTGGGATCAGAGACTGGGAATCTGGAACTTCTTGGGACACGTCCGGCACCTCGGGAAGGACGGGGATCTCAAAAGATAGAGCTGACCAAAAACAAAACATTTATGAGTGCTTCATCAGAATACAGCATGTCATTTAGAGAATAATTAAAGGTTTCTTGTTGAGTTTTAGCCTTCACTACTACTTCAGTGTAGACACCTACATTATTACCTTAAATTAACCTTGGTTTAAACAACTTACCAAAAACAATATATAAAGTACTGAATATTACATATAAAAGAGGACAACTTTTTTTATAGTTACTGATGTTTGAGAACCGCAGTGACGCGTCCTAAAACCCGGAAGTAAACTCCTTCCGGTTCCTTCGTCAAAAACGCAATGCAATTTCTCCATAGGATTTTGGAAAATAGCTGGAACTAAGGTCTGTGGTTGAAACACATTGAAGAGACGGATCACGTTTTGTTCAGCCGGATAATCTCCACATGTCTACCCTACTTTTATCATTTTCTAATCATAAATCTAGTCGCCAGAAGCAAAATGCTAACGTTATGCTATAAAGGAACTACAGCAGGGTCGCTGCTTCAACGTCACGCCAACTTAAGATCCGTATTCAAACATACAGATTGTAAATGGTACGAGTTGAAGCGTTTGTTTGAACAGTCTGCAGGAGGCAGGTTCTTGCTTTCAAGCAGAACAGGGCAAACACACTTAGAGGAGTGTTTACGTGTTCGGTGTAATGACGTAAAACGGCCTGGACAACTTCTGTAGTCCTATTCAGCCACTTGGTAACAACCACGTATACTCTTCAGAAATCACCAGTGGGGTCACTGCTGATGTGTTTAATGTTGTAGAACAAAACGTGATCCGTCTCTTCAATGTGTCTCAACCACAGACCTTAGTTCAGCTATTTTCCAAAACCCTTTGGAGAGATTGCATTGCTTTTTGTCGAAGGAACCGGAAGTGGTAAAATGCTAACTTACTTCCGGGTTTTAGGACGCATCACTGCGGTTGGGTTGCTAGTTTGGGCCAGCGCCATATAGGCTCTGGTTTGGGCAAGAGACTTTAAAGTTAACAGTATTAGGCGGTAGGAATTTCAATATTGTCTTCGTATTGTATTGTGTGTTTTAATGGAAGTGTGTTTTCTCCCCGATCGCATTTGCACTTGGTCAGGGTTGGAAAATATCATGATTTGGCGAAATATATTTATTTTTGTAACACAAAATGAGTCAAATGAAAGCCTTAATTGTCACCAGGCTACTCCAACAATGCAACAAACTACAAACCTGAGATACCTGATGAAATAGTGCCTCAGTGTGTGCTTACCTTCGGGGAAGAGGCTGGAGCTGTACTGAATGAGAGGTTCGATGACCGTCACCACTTGGACCGAAGAAGCTGAGGCCATGTCAAACGCTTCCCTACAGAGGCAGAGAGAAAACACACATTAATACCACCATGAAGTTATTTCTTTAAAAGACAAACTCCTGATCCACACTCCAGAAGGTGGCGATAAAGGCACCTAAAAGCTGTTTGTGAACTGTCATTAATTCAAAAGAACAAGAACAAAGAGAAACACAATACTCTATTCATTATTTATAACTTAGTTTCTTATTATTATGACTAGTATTTTATTTCCTATTTACATATACATCTGACAACACTGCGGTTGATTTTTTATTATGTATAAAACTTGATTTTGCATTACAGGTTTCAAGTTTCAAGGCTTTTATTGTCATTAGCACATTAGCTACAGTGTCGATATGGCAATGAAAAACTTAGGTCACAGGGTCCTCCAACAGTGCAACACATATAGGAGATAGAAGAAATAAAACTGATAAAATAGTGCGAGAGAATGTTTGGAGATGTGCGAGTAAATACAAATAAAATAGAAATAGTGGTCTGAGGTTATAGAGGCATTATTGCACGAAGAGACCAAAAACATGACTTAAAATGCAGGGGTTTTGAACAGGATGCTGTGGTTTGGGTGATGAAATATGTAACAAATGCTTTGATATTAGGACACCAATATAATGCAAGAGGAAGACGTGACGTATGGTAGAAAGTAGAGGCAGGATCAAAGGTCCCCTATCATACTGTTTTTCATCAATATATCACAGGTCTCAGATATATACAGAACCAGTCTCTGATTGGCTGAAACACCAAACAGATCATTGCAGCATTACCCATAATCCCCTCTGTTTCAGCCCTGTTTCCAAAGTGCTGATTCTCTGTCTGTTACTTTAGATGAAAATAAGGAGCCCCTCCCCACGCCCCTCTGAGAGACATTTGGTTACAAAGAACACAATGGTGCTCTAGGAGGAGATTCAGGTGATAAGGGGGCGGGGGGGTTACCTTGGTTGCTGATTGGCTAATGGTTACACAAGACAACACATCGTTATGACATCATAAAGTGGCCAAAATCTGATCAGCTCATTTTCAGACAGGTTTTTATAGAAAATGGATCAAAAAGAGAGAGAATCTTTGTTCCTGAAACTTTCAGAGTCTCTTTCCACAGGAGCGGGACACATGTTGATGTAGAAGAGACCATGGAGAAGAGGGGACACATGTTGATGTAGAAGAGACATGAAGAAGAGGGGACACATGTTGATGTAGAAGAGACAATTGAAGAATAGGGGACACATGTTGATGTAGAAGAGACATGAAGAAAGGGGGGACACATGTTGATGTAGAAGAGAACATGAAGAAGATGGGACACATGTTGATGTAGAAGAGACATGAAGAAGAGGGGACACATGTTGATGTAGACGAGACATGAAGAGAGGGACCATGTTGATGTAAGAAGAGACATTAGAAATGGGACACATGTTGATGTAGAAGAGAACATGAAAGAAGGGGGACACATGTTGATGGTAGAAAGAGACAATGAAAGAAGAGGGGAAACAATGGTTGTAGAAGAGACATATAGAAGAGAATGAAGGAAGAGGGGACACCATGTTGATGTTAGAAGAGACATGAGAAGAGGGGACCACATGTTGATTGTAGGAGATACATGAAGAAGCGGGGACCCATGTTGATGTAGACAGAGACATGAAGAAGAGGGGACACATGTTGATGTAGAAGAGACATGAAGAAGAGGGGACACATGTTGATGTAGAAGAGACATGAAGAAGAGGGGGACACATGTTGACTGTAGAAGAGACATGAAGAAGAGGGGACAACATGTTGATGTAGAAGAGGCATGAAGAAGTGGATTTTGCATAATAGGTGACCCTTTAAGTCACTATACGCACCTTCAGATCGGGGCCACAGCAGGTTGGGCCCCAGGACGATGGCGATGTTACTCGGAGACATTTTGTTGACGGCTGCCTGCTCGGACCAACAGAGACAAGAACTGGACCAGGTACTGACGGAGAGGAAGAGGAACAAAACCAGATCAGAGAGGAAGAGGAGTATAAAGCTGGTTAATACATATTTGAAAAGGTTGTAGACGTGTGGGTTGGACAGAAAACCAACAGGATCAAACTCAGATGATTAAAATGTGCTGAGGTATTCAAATGTGATGCATTTCAGGCTTTTTAAACCCTTTTAAAATCCTTTTCAGAAAGGCCTTTTACCTTTTATTTCATGCACATACATATATGTTCTTTACAGTTTCTTGCACACAGAACAGGCACAAAATGTACGTAACACCGTGTTGAGGTCGGGCGATATAGAGAAAAGTTGTAGGAAGACTATTTACACAATGATATTTTGAGCTAATCTAATAATCAAATACTGGAGGAAATCTGTGTCAAACGGAGAGTGTATGGATATAATCTTGCGCTTTGTACGGCTGCTTTCAACAATAGATTAGCTTTTGAGCTCTAACGTCAGCATGCTAAGAATGACAATGCTAGCGTCACTATTGATAAAGCTAAATCGCTAGTGCGGCTAAAAAGACATTATGATCCAGTTAAAGGTCCCATGTCATGGCCATTTCTACTGATCATAATTACATTATTGAGGAGTATGTACTGTCCTAAACGGCTTGTTGGAGCTCCTGCCCCCCCCCCCTCCCTGTGAATCCAGTGGCGGTCTGCGAGACAACGCGGAACTCAGCCTGGGCACACACACACATTCACAGCCTGGCTGGGAGTTTGTGTGTGTGCCCAGGCTGAGTTCCGCGGTGTCTCGCTGTCTCGCCGACCCCACACCAGTGAGCCAGCTCACAGTGTCCCGCTCCTCGCAGCAGCGAGTCTCGCAACGTCCCGCCGAGTGTGTGTGTGTGTGTGTGAGGAAGTCCGTGGATTGGTTCAAACGTAACGGCTCCGCGTAACGGCTCCGCAGATTGGTCCAAATAGACCAATCCGCCAAGCCGTTACGTTACATTACGTCACTATTCCCGAAATACGTCACTATACCCAAGAAGTAAACAATGGAAAAAGAGAAACGAGGCGTTCTGGGGCAGCATAGACAGGTCTTTTCTGTGTTAGAGTTTTACTCGCTACAGGGTGTACTTTGAGGGTTTGTGACTCTGCAGACCGTTTACATGCAGAAAAAGCTACATTATACACAAGGGGACGGGTGATAACCAGAAAAGCATGACATGGGACATTTAAATGAAAGATTATAGCTCTTGTTTCTTGAAATGCTGAACATTGTCTGACGTGTGTGCCTAGCAGTAGTTGTGTTTAAATGCGTGAATGCCAGAAGATTAAAGTACACAGCAAGTACACACCTGAGGTTGTTGTAGTTTTCAGGCGGCAGTTGTTTAAGTAGTACTCTGAACTGCTCCAGTTTCTCTGGCAGGTCTTTTTCCCTGTGAAGAAAAACATAAATCTCAAGAAACTGACTTTAAACCACAGCTGAAATTTATAAAGCGTAGATAATATACACACCCTGCTGCTTTAAACCAGTCGTTGTAGAGTTCAGAGGTCATTAGAGGCTCGGGAAGTTCTCGCAGGTAACCCTTCAGAGCTCCTGTCACAGTAACAGATCAATAATGCATTTAAACAAGAGCTATGTTGCGATAAATACTGTCCATTTGTGTCAAAAATGAATAACCAATGATACATATAGGTCTATGTCCCAGCTCATAGAGTCCTGTAGTGAACCCGGAAATGTTGAGTACCCAAAAGTTTTAATATAGAAGTGTAAAGTACGGGTCCCCAGCACATGGAAACTCCCGGATGCTAACTTGCATATGTTGGGCAATTTGCACATTTAGCACAAAATGCATTAATTAGTATTATAGCTTGTGTAGACAATAGTTAAAAATGGCTTGGTCGATTACAACAGTTTTGAGTGGTTCTGGGGGTTATTGGGGATTCTGAAATGTTTAGGATCAAAGTTTTATGCTAATTGTGCAAATTGCCCAACATATGTGAGTTAGCATCTGGCAGTTTGTAATTACTGGGTTCCCTGCTATACATTTCTATAATAAAACGTTTGGGAACTCCGGGTTCACAGTGCTTGCAGGTAGATTATATTGTCATTAGGTTGCCTGTTTTCTTTAACTATTTGGTAAAAGTGGATCCACACACATCAAACCTGATCTAAAAGTATCCAGCACACATGAAATATTCATGTTACATTACTGGAAGCTGCAACCGCGTCAGTATTTGGAGTAAACAGAAGAGGAACTGTGCAGAAAGCATAAGCAGCAAAAGTCACGTTGACTGAACAAACGAGGAAGAGTGAAATCTGAGGGAACAGAGGTGGAGTAAACCCTACCGGCCACAGCGTGAGGGTCCATGCTGAACTCGCTGTGGTCGACCGCTTCCTGGTCCAAACACATCTTCAGCCTCTTCACCACCGAGGCGGCTGCCGCCAGACGAAACAGACCCTGATGGACGAGAGGAAGAGAGATTAAATGTTAGAGCTGGAGCAGGAGCAACCGTGCAGAGCAAAAACACTTAAAGAGGCCCTATGGTGTTTTTTGGGGTTTCCCTCTCCTGTAGTGTGTTCTATAGTGTGCATGTAAATGGTCTGCAAAGGCTAAAATCCCTGTGTGACCTCCAGAGGGAGTTTCTCTCCCCCCCCCCCTCAAAACGATCCCATTTGAATCATTTTTTTACTTCGGGACATCACTATAATAATAATAATAATTCATTACATTTATTAGAGCGCTTTTGCGAATGCCCAAAGCGCTTTACATTACATACACATATCAGACATGTAACAGTGAAACTATGCCACACTTGTGCTTCTATTGGCTAGCGCTCCAACACATTGTACGTGATAGGCTAAGGGGCGGGACATCTCTAAGCGGTTGACCAATCACTACAGAGCCGGCCAGCTAACCAATCAGAGCAGACTGGGCTCTGGTTTCAGACAGAGGGTGAAAAGAGAGGCCTCGCTGCACATTATCCCGCTTATTACACGGCCACATTCTCAACAAAGTAACGACATGACTCCCAATATTAATTGAAATACTTTAATAGATTTAAAACATATTTTTATTGATTTAAAAAATAGTATTAGTGATTTAAAAAATAGTTGTATTGATTTAAAATGACATGCATCCGCTAAGAAAAAAGGCTGTTGTTACTGTTTGAACTAACGGCAGGAACTGCTTCGATAGCGTTTTTGAGGAGCTTTTTGATTACAGATTTGAAAACATCGCTGCTTGCTTTAAAAGTAGCACAATTCATTATGTCAGACCTTGGAAAGTATCTAGATATCCCTGCCCTAATGCCAAAGGAACCGCACACTGAATATGTGTCGCCGTTTGATGTCTATGTCTGGACCGTTGCGTAAAAAGGAGGGTTTCTGCCCGTTACTTCTCCGCTGTTTTCTTGTCCCACTTGTCTTTTTCTTTTCTTCGCTGGGGACTCATCAGCCACTAACCATTCATCCAAATTACTGTGCTCTCCAAATATATTCAAATTAATATTAAAATCCTCCATGTTGCTCTCAGACGGTAGACAACGGAAAACTAAAGACAAGCAAACAACCAGACCAGACTTCTTTCTGCAGATGTGAGCGTCCTTAACAACGGTCAATAAGTCCTTGACAGCGGTCTGTACTACTGGATTAACAGGGTGTCACGTGTTCTGAATTTACTAATCAGCATCAAGTATTCAACTAAGCCATGTAATAAATACTGATATGACCCTCAAAATGAGTATTATAGGACCCTTTAAACTAAAGTCCCATGCTATCAGAAGTCCTACCTCCTCAGTCATGCCTGTTCTCAGCAACATGTGGATACACTCCTCGATGGGAACAGCGATTTCTCTGTTGCTCTCAGACAGATGAGAGAGAAGAGGCTCGCCGTACACCTTCTGATTGGAGAGGCTCAGCTGTGACCCTGAACAATGAGATGAACATACAGAGGTAATAAGAGCACACGTAGAAATACTGCAGGGATGCATATCGTTGACTTTTTTACGATACCGATACCACTGAACGATACCGATACTCAACCGATACATATCGTGATACTTTGAAAATGTATCATCCCACAATTACTCCCATGAAGCGCTTTACGATATAGTTAACATGTCAAATGAATATTAAATTCAATTGTGGGACTTCTTGGACCTTTTAGTGAACAAACAATGAAAAATACATAAAAAATATGAAGAAAACCGATTATGGAATATCTTTTATAACACCCGCCATCAGGTGTGCCGCGTGAATAGCACATCTTGTCAATGCAAACAGACCGTTATAGCACCGTTATAATTAATGTTAAACCTGAGATTCGACTAGAGAACAAATACATAATAGAATAAAGGTCATGAGATCTCGGCATTGCACAAACAAACAAATCTCATCTTTAAAATCAATATTTGCTGGTGAGAGAAAACAAATCCCATCACAGTTCATTTGTGGGACTTTTACCTTTCTAGTATTGAACATATGAAGAAAAACGATTATGCAATCTAATTTATAACACCCGCCATCACGGGCACGGACTCACTTTTCAAATTAATTTAAAAAAAAATTAAAGTATCGAAACCGGATCTGATTTCAGTACGGTATACCGTAGCCACCAGTAACCGGTATTTCGGTAATACCGGATACCGGTATGCATCCCTAAGTGACAGCGCAGAAAATAAAGTGATGCAATCTACCTTTTTGACTGTGGTTCTCTTTGAGCTCGCTGATGTTTTTGTCCAGGAACTCGTGGGAGTGTTTGTGATACTCGGCCTGCAGCTCCAGAAGCTAAAACCAGAGAAGTTGTATTTAGTTTGAGCACTTAAAGAGAAAAAGAATAAGTCAAATCTGCAACTCACACGGATGAAGTAGTTAGCGTAGTCGTCTTCTTTGGTTGCAAAGTGATACAGATCTGCAGAGTACTGATCCTGCAGAGACAGAGAGTGAAAAGGGTAAAGATATGTCACGGTGAAACCTCCAATGTTTATTACTTACATTTATTTTTGTGTTACATGTGGGGGAAATCCGTTTTATTTAGCTGACATAGTAAAAACAAAGGTTGTTTGCAGAAAGAATTATGGGTTCTGAGTGTGAGAAAAAATGGTTTTGCGAAAACAGCCTTTAAAGATACGTATTGTAAAATTCATACATTTAAAAAGACACTACAGGTGAATAGGATAACAAAAAATAACTAATAGATATCATCATGAAACTTCCTCAGTTGATCACAGTCAATAAGACAATTATTTTGTTTAAATATTCAAATTAGGAATGATCTAATGCTACTTTCTGGTGAATTTAGGAGAAACTTACAGATGAAAATGGATAAAATGGTTACAATAATCACCTGATTTGGATCTTTTCTTGCCACATATTTGAAAGAAAACTCCCAAAATGTGACAAGTGCATGAAGAAAACATATTTTTTCTCATAGTGTTTCTCTTAAAGGTCCCATGTCATGCTTTTCCGGTTATCACCCGTCCCCTTGTGTGTTATGAAGGTTGTTCTGCATGTAAACGGTCTGCAGTCACAAACCCTCAAAGTACACCCTGTAGCGAGTAAAACTCTAACACAGAGAAGACCTGTCTATGCTGCCCCAGAACGCCTCGTTGGACATTTATCTTTTCCATTGTTTACTTCTTGGGTATAGTGACGTATTTCGGGTATAGTGATGTTACGTCCACTGAGCCGTTACGTTTGGACCAATCCACGGACTTCCTCACACACACACACTCGGCGGGACGTTGCGAGGCTCGCTGCTGCGAGGAGCGGGACACTGAGCCGGCTCACTGTGAGCTGGCTCACTGGTGTGGGGTCGGCGAGACAGCGAGACACCACGGAACTCAGCCTGGGCACAAACACAAACTCCCAGCCAGCCTGCTGGTGTGTGTGTGTTTCGGACTGGGTTTTGCTGTGTCTCGCTGTCTCGCAGACGGCCACTGGGCTCACATAGAGGGGGGGGGGGGGCAGGAGCTCCAACGAGCCGTTTAGGACAAAGAGTGAATACACATACTATACAGAGATGCTGTATGAGAAACCAATGTGAGTTTGGAAAATTGCACAATATACATTTATTCTAGTAGACGTCAACAATGGAATTATGATCAGTAGAAATGGCCATGACATGAGACCTTTAATAATAGACATTTTCCCAGGTATGTGTGTAAAAGAAATGCAGATACCTTGATGTTCTCTAACCTCCTCCAGGCTTCTTCCACTTCCTCCCTCAGCCCGTCCTGCTTTGCCTGAGGACCCGTGCTGGCCTGGCTCCTGACCACACACACACACACACACACACACACACACACACACACACACACACACACACACACACACACACACACACACACACACACACACACACACACACACACACACACACACACACACACACACACACCACACACACACACACACCACACACACCCACACACACACACACACACACACACACACACACACACACACACACACCACACACACACACCACACACACCACACACACACACACACACACACACACACACACACACACACACACACACACACACACACACCACACACACACACATCACACACACACACACACACACACACACACACACACACACACACACACACACACACACACACACACACACACACACACACACACACAGACAGACAGACAGTTGTTAAAATGTGTGTTCGATGTTGGATTGATTGTAACAGGTATCAGCGAATGAGGCTCACTTGGTTCTGGCGCTGTTCCAGTCTGTAGTGAGTTTTGCAAACTGCTTCTTGTTCTTGAGAATCTCTGGTAAATCATCCTGGAAGGAAACAAAATACATTCAGTTAAAGGAATGGTTCAAAAACATTATATCCATTCTATGTTTTGCTATTTAATTTCCAGTCAGCTACAGAAAAGTCGTCCATAAATGTATTCAGACAATATAGTGGGACAGAAATGAACAACAAGCCGTGACTCTGGTGATAAACATACTGAACAAAAACACAGACTATATAACGCCAGAGCAGTGCAATAAATAACACTTTCGTTAGTGTTGAACTGTTGACACTTAATTCATTAAATATCAATATGTTCAGTCTCTCACCTCGCTGAGCTTGTTCAGCGGCTCCAAAACATCTTTCTCCACCTTCATCTCAAAGTCTGCGAGCATGCTGGCCAGCATCTTCTCCATGAAGCAGCACATCTCCAGCACCCTCCTGACACACACAGAACACACACACACACACACACACACACACACACAACACACACACACACACACACACACACACACACACACACACAACACACACCACACACACACATCACACACACATCACACACACACACACACACACATAAAAACACTGTTAAACAAAGGCTTCCAATATAGCAAATCTTTCATTAATTTCTCTCTCTTTTTATCAAATTAATGTTTTTTTATGCATGATTTCTTGTTTTTTTTATATATATATATTTTTTTTTATTGTATTATTATTAAAGGGGACCTATCATGCAAAATGCACTTCCTGATGTCTTGTATACATAAACATGTGTTCTCACGCAGCATCAGAAAATAAAACCCTCTCTCTTTTCCTCCGTACCCAAATCTCTAAAAACGGAGCTGATCCAGATTTGCGTCCGATATGACGTAATATCTGAAATGTGGACCCACGGGCCAATCAGAAACGTTGCTATCAGAAACAATGCCCGACTGTTTTGGACGTAATATGGTCGGTGTTTACATTAGCATCGCTAACACTCAGAGCTAACCTGTACTGGAGAGCATGTGTGTGAAGAAGCAGGAAGTAAAAAGGAACTCACCTTGTGGTATAACCGGCAAGAGAGAAAGCCTTTGAGCTCCAAACTGTTTCAGAAATAATCCTTGATAATCCATGATATGGCGTTTCATCACGGCAGCATTTAGTTTAGACAGTAGCTTTTTTTAAAGCTTTATACCCAAATCAGCACTTTTAAAACAGGAAGTGAAACAGAGGGATATGAGGCATGGCTAGAATGGGTGATCTGTTTGGTATTTTGAGCAAAACACTTCATAGACATGTTTTTTATATTTTTTTATATATCTGAGACCTGTGTTATTGCCTACAAATAGCATGCTAGCTGACCTTTTTATGTAATTATTTTCCTGGTCCATGCTATGGCTTGTAGGCTTGTAATGTCTATGCCATTACACATGTTTGATAATAAATGTGATTCTGCGTACCTGATGGAGGACTCTGCATCGAAGTCCTTGAGGCTCTCCGCCATGCTGACAGAGAGCAGCATCAGAGGAAGCTTCTTCTGCAGAACCAGGAGCAGAAATCTTTCAGTAACAAATCAAATATATAGTTTCTGCCCTTTCCCTCATGGGTGAATCCGTTTCAGTACCATCCGTTTCTCAGCGTCCAGCCCAGTGTGGCTGTGCATGCAGCCCTGCAGCTTCTTGTGCAGAACCTGAGCCGCCTTCTTAGCCGGCTCCACACGCTGCTCCACCTGCACACACAAACACACATATTTAACACACATATAAACATATATAGAGCAGTTATTAAAGGTTAAACAACGTTATATATTCCTTTTGATTGTAGCTAACTGTGAGGCACACTTTAAAAATATACAAATATACATACAGAGCAAGAAGAGGCAGAAAACCCACTGTAATTATTTGAAGCCTCCACTTATATAAAGTTAAAATTCACAATTGTATAGATGTATTTATATAAGAAACACAAGATTAGTAGTAAAAGAAATGATATGAATTAAATAGTAATGGGAAAGTATTAGAATATATAATAATAATAATTAATAATAAAAAAAATAATGAAACAAATGTGATTGTTATTTTAAAGGGGACCTATCATGCAAAATTCACTTTTTGATGTATTTCATTCATAAATATATGTCCAGATTTGCGTCCGATATGACGTAATATCTGAAATGTGGACCCACGGGCCAATCAGAAACGTTGCTATCAGAAACAATGCACGACTGTTTTGGACGTAATATGGTCGGTGTTTACATTAGCATCGCTAACACTCAGAGCTAACCTGTACTGGAGAGAATGTGTGTGAAGAAGCAGGAAGTAAAAAGGAACTCACCTTGTGGTATAACCGGCAAGAGAGAAAGCCTTTGAGCTCCAGACTGTTTCAGAAAGAATCCTTGATAATCCATGATATGGCGTTTCATCACGGCAGCATTTAGTTTAGACAGTAGCTGCCGGGTCCCGCATGAGCTCAGACCCCTCCTTTTTTATTATCAATCTTTTTAAAGCTTTATACCCAGAATCAGCACTTTTGAAACAGGAAGTGAAATAGAGGGATATGAGGCATGGCTAGAATGGGTGATCTGTTTGGTATTTTGAGCAAAACACTTCATAGACATGTTTTTTATATATTTGTATATATCTGAGACCTATGCTATTGCCTACAAATAGCATGATAGGTGACCTTTTACTATTATTATTATTAATTTAAAAATATTTATTAAATACACGTTGTGGCACATTTTCAAATTGTGTTTGTTAACGTATTCTTTGAATGGTGGTGAACAGAGGCACTGGTTATCATAACTTAACAGTAAACAAGTCAGTAATATAAATATATAAACAAACAGTGTCTGATCTAGATTTCATAACTAAAGATAGTTTTTTTCTGAAGCTAAAATACCAATACATTTGAATTAAATAAAGATGAAATCATAAATCAATCAGTTGGTGATGAACAGACATTCTTGAAGGAGAAGCTGAATCTTCTCACCATAACCAGGTCCTCGTGCAGGAGTTCAGTGGCATCATGTGACCTGCAGGAAGGTATGGTGTGTTTATTAATACATATATATTGAGGGAAATAACCTTGATGTCCATAACAGTGAGAAAAATAACACACAACTTTGATATTGAATATCTTTATCCTGAGCATATCTCCCACGAATGTCCCACTTTCTGTTTAATCATCAATAAAAAAGTCGATGCTAATCAAGCGCTTTTAGTCCTGTTGACATTTGATGTTGGACTCGTAGCGTACCCGAAAGCACAGTTTTGAATCAGAGCCAACATTTAAAGTCGTGAAACCTTGAGAGGCGAGGGAAACAAATAATATCCGTGATCACATTTATTTTTGTTTGAGCTAAATTGTATTTTTCCCGTGCTTATGACTTAAGAACATGGAAAAAAAGAGGTTTCACAAGTATAATCTTTCAAAGTTCCTTCTCTCATGTGATTATTGTTAAGTTGTATGGAAACAGGTATAAGAAAATGTGCAGGAAATATATCCTGCACATTTCTGAATCTTAGAAAATACTCAGAAATCAAGTAATTACTAGTTTCCAAGTGTTTCTCTCCCATGTTGTCTGTTAGCATGTTATGTAAAATAGCTGTCATTGCTTTTTCTTTGGCTGAAAATGTATTTTAGTCGGTGCTAATCAAGAGCTTTTAGTCCTGTTAAAGGTAGGGGTAGGTAAGAATGGAGAAACCAGCTCGAGTGCGCTAGAATTTGAAAATACACAACCGTTAGAAATCTGCCACTTCCTTACAGAGCCCCGCCTCCAACACACACGAACGCGCACATGACCAATGAGGGCACGAGATAAGTTTGTGCCCAGATGGAAGGCTGACAGGCAGGTAGGCCATCCAGTTACTTTAGCCGGCTCAGATGATTGGTCGCAGAAGTGTTTCTGAAGTGAATGACCTACCCCACCTTTAAATATCTTATTTTTTAAACATTGCATGACTGAACACATCTGAGGATGCAACCTCAGAGTCATATACTGGCGTTATAGAAGGTTTCTTAAAAGGTATTCAATTATATTCGGAAAGGACAGGACGGTATGTATCTTGGAGCCAAGTGACCAAATACAATATAAACATTAGAAATAATAACGTTGTTCCAATTATTATATATTTGATGCTCCACAAAAGTGATTTTATTGATCAAAATAGGTCTCTCGGATGGTAGTAGGAACTTTTGAGCATATAAAAATGGATTTCAAATGGATTATAAAAATAGATAAAGTGATACAAATAAAAAAATGTGCGAATGAAATTAAGTTTTTATGAATAATAACTGGACTTAATCCTATGTAAAAGGGATTTTGTATGCTATATCCCTTAATGGAAACATCATTACTGCGCTGCATGCTGGAGGAAGAAACTGAGATACAAGATGATATCAATTATAAAACACTCTTTAAGTTCACATCATCTGCTCTGACCCTTAACATATATGTGCAGACTGACAAGTACAAACATTTATACGCCAACAACAACCTAAACCTGGAGTGTGTGGTTGCTGTGGTTCACACACACACACACACACACACACACACACACACACACACACACACACACCACACACACACACACACACACACACCACACACACACACACACACACACACACACACACACCACACACACACGCGATTTGGGGGAAATAATCTAATTGCGATTTTCTGACAGATATTGCGATTGCGATTTGCGATAAATGTTTTTAAAGCGACACACACGGAAGTTTATTGTAAAATGCAGCCATATCTCCGGCTAGGAAGGTCATATCACGTGCGCGCGCAAAACACACACACACACACACACACACACACACACACCACACACACACACACACACACAACACACACACACACGCGATTTGGGGAAATAATCTAATTGCGATTTTTCTGACAGATATTGCGATTGCGATTTGCGATAAATGTTTTTAAGCGACACAACGGAAGTTTATTGTAAAATGCAGCCATATCTCCGGCTAGGAAGGTCATATCAACGTGCGCGCACACAGACACACACACACACACACACACACACACACACACACACACACACACACACACACACACACACACACACACACACACACACACACACACACACCATCTAGTATCTGCTGCAAGAAGGAGGGGAGGAGATGAGGTGAAACAAACTGTTCTGCAGCTTTACACAGACAGGAAACCAAACCCAGTTCGTTCAGAGGTCAGATGGTCTTCTAAACGCACCTTTTATCCCCTCCAGTAAACATCTGGCGTTTAAAAAACAGAAGATAAATACCCTGCGTGTTTTAACCAACCACCAGTTCCCTTTATATCTGACTTTCATCGGCGCAGAGACAACTAATCACCAATCAATGTAATATTCCTGAGTAAAGTGAGGAAGCCCATGAAACATCCAAAAAAGGAAAATGTACGATTCATTTTCTTATAATTTCATATTTATGGAGTTTATTTATCATTATTTTTGATTTATTGCCTTACTATAAACATTTCATATTTTGTGTTAATTAAACCCATTATTAAAAGTGTGTTAGTACATATCTGAATTATTTCGGTTTTTGAAATGTATAGTTTAAAGACAGACACATTTATTCGAAATAAATCAAATAAATAAATGAAAATAAAATATAATGTAATTAAAATGGACAAATATGAAATAAATGTGTATACTGTAAATAAAAGAGAAATAATAAATGGGTTCTTATATCTTGCTGATGCTATGTGTTCTCACTGTAAAGTAGGTGTAAATACTGTGTGCGTGCGTTATATTTGTGTAGGTGTGTTTCTCTGCAAAAAGGTGTTCCAGTACAAAGTGAGAAAACCCACAATGCACTGCTGCAGAGGCACGCTGTTTATTATTAAATGTCAGAGATGCCACACACACACATATACACACACACACACACACATATACACACACACACACACACACACACACACACACACACACACACCTGAAAATGTGTGGAATGGTCACACTCATTTCATAACGTCAGTCACATACAGGCAGACTCTTTTCACACGTAAGGTATGCAAGTGAGAACAAAAGGTTGATTTTGCCGGGAACATTCACGCAGATTTCACGTCAGTGTTTCCCTCAAAACCCCAAACAACGTGCGGACACTTTCGAGAGGAAGCAGCCACTGAGGCCTTCCAGCTTTACAAACACTGCGTTTGCAAACAAAACGAGAACATGGAAACCTGAAAGAAAAAAAACTAATTTCCTCAAAGCGAGAAAGTCAAACCCTCTCCTGTGTCAGCAGGTGAAGATGCTCAGGATTCAAACGGGTTTCAGTTGCTCTATGTTGTGATGCTTTATGAAGCACTTTGAATGACTAAAAGACAAAGTTGGCTTTAAACGTGGGCGTACTCTACTGGTTTTATTGTATTGTGATCAAACTGTTTTATTTGGTGCTATACAAGTAAAGTTATTATTATTATAACACTCCTGTGGAGATAAAGTGAAACTGAGCCACCGCAGCGAGGAAGTGACATTTTAAGGAAGAGACTGGTTGCACAAGTAGAGGAGAGTCGTACTAACAGAGAGCTAATACATGTATTTAATGTTTCCCAACACAGCTACAGGTAACACCAGAATAAGTACCATTACAAATATTCTGGTTTAAACAAAGCTCTATTCTTGTACATTTGACTTTGTCATACATAAGAGGGTCATTGTGTTGTATCTTCTTTTAAAGGTCACGCTTTAAAACACAAAGAAATAGATACATATGAAAGTGTTGGCATCCAAAAATGCTAAAAAAGGGATAGAGTCTTTATGCTAAACGGCCGGTTCAGAGGAGTTTATATACAACATCTGGATAATCATTTTTGATGCTTTAATGTTCATCACTGTTGGCAAAAGTGTAGCTAATTGTAATTAAATGTATGTGTAAATACACAGCTGTCAGATACATTTAGAGGTGGTGCTAACGTGGCTTTTTATACTTCCAGGTATCTTAATACAATATAATAATGAATAGCGTATACGTGGATTAAGGTTATGTATGAAAAATATGAACTTGCAAAGTAACTAGTAGCTAAAACTATGACATAAATGTAGTGGATAATGTAGAATAAAATGGAAAAGTACCTAGAAGTCTTCCTTAAATACAGTACTTGAGTAAATATACTTTCCACTACTATCGCAGCAGCTACATTTACAACACAATAAGGACAAATAAGACACAACATTAAAAGGATAGAAAACAATACGTCCAAGACCCTTTAAGGTACGCTTGCTCTATTAGTATTTAGTTTCAGGATGCTTCAGTCTACTCTAAGTGAGCGTAGAGACTTACTTTGCAGCCGAGCCAAACTGCATCAGGATGTTCAGAGACTGCCGCAGCATGGTTGCAGTTTTTCTCCCCGACCTTCAGTCCAGATGCTCCAGATTTCTCACTCCAAACTCCCACAGCTCGGTCACTTCATCAGGGAGAGAAGCTGAACACCGGACTGTCTTTATCTGTGTGTGTGTGTGTGTGTTGTGTGTCAGCCGTCAGCTTTCGTTCTTGTTTCAGGAGTGTGTGCCTCAGTCTCATCGAACACAAGGCGCTGAATGAGGAAGTTGCACTGTGAGGGGGAAGAGAGATTCGACTGTCACACTATGATTTCAAAAGCAAGCCTTATAGAAACTGCACTCATAGCTTGCACAGCAGGAGGGCTGAGATGCTTTCAGAATCAGAAACAGAAACGGGGTTATTGACAAGTAGGTACGAGGACTTTGCTTTGTATATGTTGCATACATAAACACACATTTAAAGAAGGTACATTGTAAGAAAAGGGCCATAAATAAAACTATAATAACTGTTGGAGAAAATACAAGGTGTCTTCTTTACTATGGGTTTTCTGATGGGCATGATACTGTGTGTGACCTTGCACTGTGCGACCTTGCAGCTGCCTCCTCGTAGATAGGAGAAGGCAGGGCATCATTCATGTTGTTGATACCAACGAGAGCACACACACTTGCCTCCTCTCCTCTTTGAGGGGCAAAGAGCAACACTGCCTTTCCAGAGATGTCCCGACACCTTCCCGACGCCTGGTGACGCCAAACCGATTTACGACACTGTTTGGTACCTCCTGACTTTAGACTATATAAGCTTGATGCTCCTTTGAGCAGCATACCTCGTGTGTGTGAGTTGAACCATATCCTTTGTATGTGACTTAACTCCGCTCCTTCTTGCAAGAATAAATTAGTACCAGACTATTGATTCTCATCCCGGTGTCGAGAGATATTTTCATAACAATAACATTTAAATATAGAGCAGTATTTACATTTACAAATATAGATATATCAAAAAACTACATACGCATTTTTTCAAATAAGATATGGGCAGTATTGACACGAAAAGTAGAAAGCTTTGCAGATATTAGAAAGGTAGCTTTGTATACAAATGTGTAGGACTGACTGTAGGAAAATGAAATAAGATATTCTTTTGTGCATTCATGTAAAGCATAGCGTATTTTTACATTAATGTAATTTAAAGAGGTTTACAAAGGTGTACAAGCTTTGTTTTTATTCAGCTTTCCAGACAAAAAAAAGCACAATTTCCTGAAATAAATAGCAGTAGTACTGTCAAACATATTGTACTGTCAGACAAAGATTGTAGGTTTTAGAGCACAGACCATCCTCTCTTGCTTTTATAAATCCCCTTCAGGTCAGGTTAGATTAGATTGGATTAAATGCTATTGTCATTGCACAGAGTACTGAGAAAACCAAATGCATCTAACCAGAAGTGCAAAAGAAGCGGTGAAGAGCAGTGGTATTTATAGAACAAGTACATACGAGTAAACACAGTATGACAGTAGTGTGACATATTACGATAACTGAATATAATAACACTATAATATGAGCACTAATATAATTGAATACACTTTAGAGCAGTATAATATAAACACTATACATATACTACAGGCTGTTATTGACTCTTATTTCTCCCCCTCTGATTTGTTACGTCATGAGTTATAGTTGAATCTGTCTTTTATTGTGTTGCTCTGTAACAATATGGTTTCTTAAGATGCCCCCAAAAAGAATGACATTGTATTAAGTGTGTGTGTGTGTGTGTGTGTGTGTGTGTGTGTGTGTGTGTGTGTGTGTGTGTGTGTGTGTGTGTGTGTGTGGCCTAGCATTACTATACTTGTGGGGACCTAAATCTGTTTACACAGTCACGTGTGGGGGACTCGCCTCCCTTATGGGGACAAAATGGAGGTCCCCATGAGGGCAATCATTAATTTTAGGGTGAAGACCTGGTTAGGGTTAGGTTAAGGTTAAAGGTTAAGGGTTAGGGTTAAGGGTAAGGGTTAGGCATGTGTTGGTTATGGTGAAGGTTAGGATAAGTATCCAGGAAATGCATGTAAATCAATGTAATGTCCCCTGAAGTGATGTATGCATGGTATGTGTGTGTCAGTGTATGTGATTTTGTTTCTGATGCAATAGACATGCTTAAATGCATGAAAGGTCAATGTTGCCGTGAGAAAAGCACTTCCTGCTTACACTTATGACTGAAGCACTTCATATTATCAAACTCTAAATTAAAAACATCTAATAAAGGGTTGTTTCTGTAAAGTGTTTTCTGTTGTGGAAGAATTCCAAGAATGAAGATATAAGAGGATAGATTTGCATCTCATTAAAAGTGATGCTTACGCTTCTAAAAAAATAAACCTCGTGCCCTCTGTGGTTGCTGCGTACTTCTGTAAACGCTAGCCGTGTGTGCTTACAATTTAAAAAGGATGTGAAAAAGCAGAAAGAGGAAACAAGCTTTTTTTCAATCAGTTTTAAAATGATTTTAATTTATAGCTGTCTCTTCTGAAGCCTGCTTGTTAAAGTGAAGGGTTTGTTTTGCCCCAGTTTGTCCAATTCTCGTCACAAAATCGTTGTTTCTTTGCCATTAATTGAAGCAAGCACCACAAGAAAGTTGCTTGTTATTTACTCATGATATATTATTATGTATGTTTAATTTCTTGATTCCTTTATAAGCAAGCTTTATAAACCTAAGACTTTCTCATGTTTCTGTGTGTAAAGTAGGATGTAATAAGGATGAGTCACATGACGTACCTGTAAATCCTGAAACACTCACAGTCCGAGTTATAACGCCTCTGCAGACACACGAGGTGAATCCACACGAGGGTCTTTTGATCTGGTTTGTGGTGAAACAGCCTTTTCTGATGCTTTCAGTGCCTGAAGAGCTGCAGCACACATGGTGGAGGTCAGGTGCTGCAGTCTAGTGGTGGAAACTGCAAAATGCACAGCACTAACAAGGATGGCAAGTCGTTTTGGATAACATTTGGATACATCTGTTCTTACAGCAGCAAGAAAATTGCTTCATGAACAATATTAGGCTCCGAATAACACTTAAATGAAAGATTGAACACGATAGAACACTTAATCACGACATAAGACTGATATAATATACATTTTTCTTGCAGATACATAAAATGCTGCTTAACTTCTCAGCCATGACAAAATATATTAAATGTCTTCTGTCCGTTATGAAGGAAATCAATAGTATTAAATGCTATATTAACAGATAATTCTTCAGCTGATTAAATGCCACTCTGAGAGGCAATTGTTACAAGAAGTGTGTACGTTACAAATGTACTAATAAACACATAGGAAATGGTGTTTTATAGCAAAAGGTAAATTACTCTATGGAGGACATTTGTGAAGCTCCTATTATTTTTGTACTCTGTAGGAAATATATTGATGTTATCGTATTTGAGGTGGTCCTGCTATGTGTTGAATATATCATGCCACTTGCTGCATTACTTTATGACTAAATGTTTCCCAATTATTTCTCTGCCACGTATTCTAAGGCCCAATCCCAAACCATGCCCTACACCCTACACCAGGGGTGTCAAACTCATTTTCATCGCGGGCCAAATTAACATTATGGTTTCACTCAAAGGGCCGGTTGTAACTATATAAATATACATATATAATATATATATATCTGCATTGGATTATTATCGGATAGGATAATAACTTAGTAATTAACTTCGTCTGAAAGCAGAAGCCCAGGGCAAATAAGTCTCTTCAGTGTGCATGTCACAAAACGAGATGCATTGTGGGACATGTAGTTTATGTAAAGTGGCATGTAACCGTATAATAAACATATTATATTATTTGCAAGCTCTTGCAGGGCCACATCAAATGAAGTCGCGGGCCGGATTTGGCAACCGGGCCTTGAGTTTGACACCCATGCCCTACCCCTCCGTTCGCGCGGCGGGTCCGCCACATTAAGTGCTGTTCCAAACCAACGAGTGTGGAGCGGTGTGGAGGGGGAGTGGGCTATCAAGCCATCAAACAGCGGTCTCTACCTGACCGGAGTCACGCTGTGTGTCCGTCAGGAAACAAGCTGTTAACAAGTAGTTCCAGCAAACAGCCGCTGATAAACTGCAATGTTAACAACCTCATGATGACCTCATGTTTTAACTTAAGATCAAACCTGTGTTTAGTCTAGAAAAAGGTAAATGTGTGCATTTTAGTATAAAGTTGTGTATATTTACAGACTGTTGCAAAAACTAAGAAGCTTATAAACATCAGATTCAAAACACAATGAAAGATGTTTGGAGTTTTATTTTAGTTATTCATTTAAATGTTTAGTCTAATAGATGCTGATTTGAAACCGTTGTTACATACAGTTACGGCATTTCCTGTTTCTGCCGGAGAGAGGGGAGGCCGTCCCAAAGCTGGCCGCTGTATTTACTCCCTCCATCCGACAGGAGGGAGCCTCGTTGAGCTGCGAGTGTCACTCCGTCACGGAGGGGGAGTGTGTAGGGCGTGGTTTGGGATGGGGCCAAAGTGTTGGTTTTTACAAATAATCGGTTTTGGATCAGCAACGGCATTCAGTGTTTCGTTCCCTTTAAATCGGCTGCCTTCATGTTGAGAAAATCAAGTACAAAAAACACAACAAAGTAGTTTATCTATTAATGAATTTATTTTTTAAAAATGACTTCGGATACATGGAGAACTCGAGGAATCCAATTTAGACGATGTGGCTTCTTCTCTCACTTTGTGGTTTCTACAGGTGTGTTATATGTCCAGGTTATAGGGAGCACTGTTTTCCTGATCAAGGCATTTCCAAATCCCCCCCCCCCCCCCCACTGAGTCACCGGTCTATCACGTGCACTAAAGGATAAAAAGACCCTGCAGTAAGTCGTCTTTGGGAAGTGTGTACTGTTTAAATTGTGTGATAGAGACTGTTTGGAGTAGAGAGTGATGTACCTGAGAAACTCAGTGTGGGTTCTTTGTAGGACTAACTTCAGGAGACAGACAGTGAACTGGTGTTGTGTAAACTTTGTTAAAAAAAGGCAACAAAAGACACAATCCCTCCTATAGAACCACAGAGGACCCTTCAGAAACAGGGCAAGGCCACAGCAACTGAGGCAGAGTGAGAACATGCTCTCCAGACGTGATGTTTGACAACTTAAAAATGCTTATTATAGGCAATTCAAGTAATATTCCAGGTGCTTTGAGCAAAAAGGATTACAGAAAACATTCTGAAACACTTCTGAACTGACAGAAATAAGATGAATCGAGTGTACAAATTGGGGAAAATAACACGTAAAATAAGTCCCACTTTCTGGACTTCCTGTGGTAGGACGACAGCGAACTATTCCGTTTTTGAAGGATCAAACAACGGGACAGAATTGAAAAGCAGAATATTTATGTTTGGATGGTAGGGGGGGGGGGGGGGACATAACTATTTAGAAAATTATACCAATGTCTTGCGCAATATATCCACAAACACTAACCTACATTGTATAATTCCTATACATCAGTTTATCCTCTGAATAGTGTTCTTTCTCTCCACCTGCCGACTCAAAAACAGGCGCGATGGAAGGAAAGGCAAAGCACCAAGAAGTTATCCCCAAGCACGCTCACTGTAATACCTGTTCAGTCATCGAGTAAACTTGTATTAGGTAACCATGTAGAAAAAAAATAAAGTGTATGAATCGAAAAAGAAAATAACTTCAGCAGCTTCAGAATTAAAACCCTGAAAGAGTAAAGAGGCGGTGAAGCACTTGGAAAACCTGCGAGTGTCCCCTGGAGGCATCCCAAATGTTGCATTTCCTCTCCATCTCGTTTTAATGCACCCGTTCTGACCTCGCTGTTATGGAAGACCCTCGCCCCTCGGATTTGAAATGAGGGACAGGAGTTCAAGGAGCTCCCCCTGATCCGATGCCTCTCGTTCTGGTTTCCCCCCCCCCCCCCCCTGCTCTCCTCCTCCAGATCTCCTCCTCTCTCCTCCGACCCTCTGAGACTGAAGTGCGTGTTGAAGATTTCAGGTGGACGACTAGCGCTTGGTTTTGGAGTCTTCACTCTCTGGTAGCGATTGGAAAGGGAAGAGAAAAAAGGAGCAACAGGTTGAAAAATGTCCAGTTTTATCACTGTGTTAATGTCACTAATACAGATGTGCGTTTACAGCTGCTACTTTCAAAACTGAACCAAATGATTCATTTCAGAACAGCTCAGTGTCTATATAGTGGTGACGTGATGACGTATTTTTGTAGGCCTAACTGGAAGATAGCATTGCGAGAGTTCCCTTTGCAAAAAAGCAATGAGTTTTTTCAGAATGTTGCAGATAAATAAGATCTTTGTCACGCTTTGTTCAGCAGGATAATCATCTCATATTAGGAACTACTTTTAGAGTTTTGAAGCATAAATGCAGTCGCCAGAAGCAATAAGCTAAGATAAGGCAATAATAATAAGTTACTACATCCCGAGAGCGGGACTTGCTCTGGAGGCTCGCCTACATGAGACGCTGAAATCTCGCGGGACAAAGACGCCGGCAGCCTTGAGAGCGAGGCGGCGCAGTTCCTCTCCACGGGCTGCGGAAGCTAAATGCTTGATGGGAAATAGAGGTGCAACAACTAATCGACTTAATCGATGACCAAATTAGTTGCCGACTATTTCAGTCGTCGATTCGTTGGTGACGTCATCACGTGTGTTTTACGCGCCGTTAAGCTCCAACGTTATCGGTACTGGAGACATTTAAAAAATACATATCATGTATTATTGCTACATAAACATTATATCGCAGTCTTAGTTTCGCCAACTCGTTTCTAATATTCAAAGACAACAAATGCGTCTATGATGTATTTTCGATCTTTCCAATCCAGACGAGATCTCTCTCCCCCGTCTGTGTGCGAGGGGGCGGGGCCGTTTACACACACGCAGCTGCGACATGCAGCGGAGCACACTGCGGAGGAGATGGCGGAGAGAACGCGCTCCGAGGTGGTTAAACTTTACCCGTCTCGATGCTCGTTGTCTAAAGTGCAATAAGAGTTCAGCATGTGAGGGCGGTAACACGAGCAATGTGTCTAAACATTTATCAAAAGTGCTCCACATTCAGACGGAGGAATGCACCGGGTTCCACTGTCTTTCTAGCAGCTCTGTAGCCCCGTCCACGAGTAACGTTTCCACGTCAGGTGTTATGTATGCTAGCAGCAACACACGGAGTTAACTACATGATACAAACATGGGGTAATGATTATAGGAAACAGAGTTATTTATTTTGTTAAAGTTTGAGCTATTCTGTTCACAGTTCTGTCATCAGATTATTTAATACGATTTGTTAAAACATTGTTGTTTCTTTTGATGTGAAATATTATGCATTTAATTTAAATAAAAAGCAATGTTAGTTTTGTTCACAATTTGTTGTTAATTTATAATATATGTATTTTTGAATCAAGTATTCATCTTTATTGTCTTCATTGTTAGTTTCCACAAGCCTAAAACAACCTCAAGCTACATCTAAAAGTTTATGGCTAAATAACAGCGTTTGAGAAATTGTGCAAGGCATACAGTAACAGTCCGAATAGTCGATTAATCGTTTCATTAATCGATTATCAAATGAGTCGTTTGTTGCAGCCCTAATGGGAAACGACTCGCTGGTATCTCGAGCTGAGCGCTCATTGGTGGTTTTTACCACGTGCTGCTGATGAAACTCTCCAATTGGCTCGGCAAAAGTTTGTTGTTGTTTTGTGTCAGTTTTACGTCGCCACATCCATTCCCATTTTTCATCATTGTTCCACAATATTTATCATCATGACATTAGTATCTATATATTTTATACTATACTTGCATTGCTTACCGTTTTCATACTTTATATATCTTAGCATATTCATACACACTGTTCATACTGCTCTCAGGCTGCTGTGTATATATAGTGTATTCATACCCCTCACTGTTTATTCATCATTCAATTCATTCTATATTTTATTCTGTAGATTGTGTACATTACTTTTCACTTTACTGCTTGTTGCACCTGGTTAGAAGCTAAACTGCATGTCGTTGTCTCAGTACCTGTAATATGTGCAATAACAATAAAGTTGAATCTAATCTGGAGCAGGAACAAATGTATTTACTTAGTACATATCTGACATTAATGATTAAACACATGTGTGCATTCTTTATAAATGCAAACCGAGTCAAGCCGACTCCGGAGGTGGCGGTATGCACCTTCAAGTTGTTTGCAATCCGCCAAATAACCGAGAGAAGAAGAAGAAGCCGACTCCAAGCTGTCCGACTTCAGGCCAGCTTTTTGAGACCTCCCCCGGCTGCGATCGGCTATTCTTGTACTTTTGAGGCGAGCCGCAACGCGTCTCAAACAAGCCTACTATCTCTTTACGTATTAGTGATGGGAATTCTGGCTCTTTTTAGTGAGTCGGATCATTTGGCTCGGCTCACTAAGAAGAGCCGACTCTTTCGGCTCCTAAACGGCTCTTCATGTCACCACAGTTCACCACGGAGCCTCAGTTTCGCCGCTGCGAGGCTCCGGCGCTCGCAGTTCACGCGCGTGCTCCACCAAGGCAGTACACCTTCCGTCACATGAACACGCTCTGCTGGCGGCGAAAAGAATCCCACCAGACTCCTTTGCCCCTCCAACAGACACCCCCCCCCCTGGCGGAGACGCTGCTTCACGTCACCACCACGAAGCTAAAGGCGGCTAATTTCCGGCGTGATGACGTTTTTCTTATTATGACAGTTGAAAGCAACATTGGACATTTAGTAGTTCTCTGAAATGTACTTATATTTTATGTCGAAGAGCAAAACATTCATCTCTAGAGCTTCTATTAACTATCGGTATTATTTAAGTCCTTTAACTAAAAACATGTTAAGAACAACATTTGACTTTCGAGGTGAGCGACCCGGAAGTAGTAAAATGCTGACTCGTGTCCAGGTTTGAGGACTCATTCCCGCAGCACTCTGGTGTCCTCTCACCTTTCTTCTGGTCGTCTCTCTTCTTGGCTGCGTCCTCCCTCTGTTTCTTGATGATGGCCAGTCTGGCGAGGTCGGCCCGGGCCTGATCCGTCTTCCCCTCCAGATGGAGCTTCATGTAGCGCTCCTTTGACTTCTGCTTCTCGATCTCCTCTCTGAAAGGACGAAATATGTGTATTAATCGAAACATCAGAACTCCAATAAAATACAACGGCACAAAACCAATCTTTTTCCTGAGTGACGCTTACCTCTCCCTGCGAGACAGCTCTCTGGGAGCGTTGACGTCTAACTCTGCCACCTTCTTGCTCTTCTGAGACACACGGTTTGGGTTCTCAATCTCTATGAGCCCCTCCACCCCACTCCTTTTTCTGGACTGTGTGGAGAAAATAAATACTTTTTTTTAAATCAGGGAAAAAAGTTATCCACCAGGACAGTTATGGTTGGTAAAGACAGAGAAATATGCATTGCTTGAATGTGGTTTTAAAAACATTTCTCATTGAGTATTTTCCATCTCTTCTGATTCAAAAGGTGGTATTTGTGATCAAAGTATTTGATCATGATATGGACAGCAGTTACACATTTCAACATTAGGTGTGGTGTCAGTCGTTGGATTCCAATATCTAAAACAAGTATTTGCACTTTTAAAATCAACATTGAAAACTTGTATTATTACAGACTCAGGGTCCAGATAAAAGACAAGACATTCCATATAATAAATTACAGACACAGCATAAAAAAAATTCAGTTTAAGAATAGTTTAAATCAGTGTCCTACAAAGAGACAACTATACCAATGTCTCCACAGCTTGGTAGCGTGTGGTACTAAACCTTATGTTCGATAAGGCCAAGAGGATTTCATTATCAGAGTCATTAAGCCGGCAAATACATTTATACATAAGATTTCTTAAAACAGCTTGTAGAGTATTGACTCCTGCAGCCACAAACATTTCACTTGCACTAGACCATCAAGGTCTCTTCAGCAATATTCTCATGGCATCATTATAAGCTACTTGAAGTTTCCGTAAACTTGCTTTTCTGTAGTTTGTGCACAAAAATGTGCCGTATAGAGCGGTGTGCAATATGCTCTGAACAGAGACATCTTCACTCCATCTGTACATGCACTAAACTTACGTAGGAGAATGTTTGCTTGTGCATACATCATGCGGCATTGCCTATTAGGGGTGCAACGGTACACGTACCGAAATTATTCGGTACGGGCCCTTCGGTTTGGTACAGGTGTGTACCGAAGTGTACCGAACTAATATAACGTTAAACGTAAAAAATTGAGAACGTGAACAACATCTTGGAAGTAATCTCAGGTGCTGCGTCGCAGCATTCAGAGTAATTTGCTCACATTGTGTTCAACGCGTCATAGAGGAAGCAAGTCATTTAATTGGACGAGAGGCATACTATGAGAGCTGGTCACAGGGATGCGTTCAAATGTAGTCAGTAATTTGAGGAACTGTCGAAATGGCGAACGCAGATAAAGTTGAGCTGAAAATCCTCCAGCATCATTGAAGTCTCCGGTTTGGGAACATTTTGGTTTCGCAGTTACGAACAAGGATGACGGACAAAGACAGGTGGACCGAACCAAAGCTGTTTGTCGGCATTGTTCAACTAACATTGGTTACGCGGCTGGCAATACATCAAACTTGCACACTCTTGAAAAGGCATCACCCGAACGTGAATATCACCGGTACCAAAAGAAAAAAGACTGAAGTGCAAACCCAACTCCCGCTAGCATGTAAGCCTCCACCACTCGCAGAGAGTTCAGACCGAGCCAAAGCTATTACAAACACCAAATATCCTTATGTTGCCATGTTAGCAAAGCGCTACCTGGCTGTATCTGCTACCTCTGTCCCTAGAGAGAGGGTGTTCTCCACAGCAGGAGACATTGTTAGTGCCAGCAGATCTGCCCTTTCTGCAAGCAATGTGGACAAGTTCATTTTTCTTTAAAAAAACATGAAAATACAATGACAAGCAAGTCCTAATGTCAAACTGGCTGCTTAGGTGCTAGTACAGTTCAAATACAGATTATTTCAGTTCATCGAAAAGCTGCACCTTAATGTTTATTTTATTTTGTATTTATTTGAGTGAATACATTATTCACAGTTTAATAATAATTTTTAAAAAAAGAAATATTTTATGTTTTGTGATAATTTTTTCTGCTGTACCGAAAACGTACCGAACCGAACCGAGACCTAAAAACCGAGGTACGTACCGAACCGAAATGTTTGTGAACCGTTACACCCCTATTGCCTATAAATATCTTCATCGGTCATTTGTTCTGTTTGTTCAACATTATGGCCCTGCCTTTACTCACGTCATTTTCTTCATCACTGCTGCTCTCTTCATCGGAGTCTGCGTCGCTTCCCTTCTCTGCTGCGCCAGGGTTTTCTTCCTGTAAACAAAAACATTCAAATGACACCGGACACAGTTTGACAGCAACTCCAAATCTGCCACAAAGATTCACTCACCAACTCTTTCTGCGCTTTCATCTGTCGGTCGATCTCCTCTGGGTTACTGAACTGCTTCCCTCTGCCCTTGTGGCTTCTTTTGCCTGCAAAGCAGAAGAAATACGTTGTTACTGGTGAATGTATTCAACTGTTTGTTCAAGTTAGTCAATTTAAAAGCAAAGTTAAGCGATTCATTTTCAGAACAGGGTAACATGCGACATCCACAAATGTGAAAAAAACACTGGAAGCTTTTTGTTAAAAGGAGAGAGGTCTACTGCCTGGACTATATTGTGATGTTATGAGATCTTCGTAAGTCAGAGTTTATGCTGATGTGATATGTGGTTGTCATTATGTACACTCCCTGTAAGTAAACACACGTCTGGTTCATAATATCCTAAAACAGATGAGACATGTTTACTTTTCTACATTTAAATGATCAAACTAATGCAAAGTGGGACTTCTAAGTTTCGTTCAGAGCTACGCACTATTGGAAAAGTGTTCCTATTGAATGAGGAAATAGCTGCAATTAGTTTATTTGAACATTAACTTAAGAGATGGTTAAAAGCAAGTCATTTGCTTTGGTGTCGGTGCATACACACAGATAAATATAATAAAGTTGTAAAACAAGAGCAACTATAAAACTATGAAAAGTATTGACAAATCAAAAATAGTTAGCTTATGTCCTAAAAAGGAAATATCAGAAGACTAAGGCACCATTTACTACCTCATATCCAGCACTGTCAGATATGCTCATTTGTGTATGTTTTGCATTAAATGGTACTGAAATGCCTGCTAAAAAAACTATTGATAATATTGGATCAAACAACCTGCCCCAGGAACTACTAGTTAAATATTAGTTAGCTAACTATCTATTGCAGATTTACATTGAGGTGGAAACTGAAGAGTTAATTATCGTGCAATGTCTGTAGTAAATAAATAAAATACATTTAAAAAGCTGCAGAGAGTGTGTGGTTGGAGATGAGTCACAAATGACGTTCACTGAGGGCCAGCGTAGTTTAACGTCAACGCTACTACATGTCATTGTTAGTGAGGGCTAGATGATGACATCAGGGTAAAACAGCTCCATATATAAAGGTAGTGTACACTTGAATAACACACATGTGAACGTATCTGGTGATAGAAACAAAAGCTATGAACCAGGAATTTAAATAAATACTAGAAAATGTGTCGTTGTCATGTGCACATGGTAACAGTTAGTTACCGTTACCGGCGTTTAAAAAACAAATGTCCATGTATGGAAACCTTTCAACTGTTTAACTACTAAAATAACCAACAACTGTTATACAAATACATTAATAATAACTATAGGTACATGATGTCGTTCCTGGATAGATTACAGCCGCAAAAAACACCATGCTAACCGGTTAGCAAGCTAAAGGCTAAGCATGTGTGAGTTCGCAATACTTTAGCTAACAATTCGCTAGCTAGAGTTAGCTTGCTACAAATTAGCATGCTACGTTTACTTGAATAATAACAAGACTTACCGCCCCGAGGCATTGTTAAAAGTAGTAGGTATACGAATAAAGTCCACAACTATGTTGCTGAATAGTCTGACAGTGGAAAAAGCAAAGTCTGTGGGTTTAAAGTGCCGAAAGAAAAAGGCTAGAAAGTACTTCGTCTATCCCGCTGTCGGAAGCAACAACGTCGGTGGAAACGCTGCATTAACTGACGCAGAGTGCGCCTGCGCAGTTAAGACTGTTAAACCAATCACTGCAATGTATATTTGATTGACATGTCCCTCCACCAATTATCTAAAGGGAGCAAAAGTGATTTGTAGAAGGCCGTACCTTTAATTAGCAGTTACTCAATATTGATTTTAATACAGGATATAATCAATATATATTTCTACTTCGGACAATCTAATTCATTCGATATAAATTATTACACAAACATTGATAGTCAAAACTACGTTTGAAAAAAGTAAATAAATATGATGACACAATACAGACTGTTGCAAGATGTTGCAATTTTGTACAATAAACCTGCAATGTGCAATATAAATACTTTTTTGCAATTGTACTGGGCAATCATCGGTTTTATGTAAAAACAAACATGTTTTCAAATGTACCAACACTTTTATAATGTGTCAAGAACACCCTAATATGTTACTTATGTCACTTCTAGCCATGGTTGTGTACTTATTTGTCTCCGTTTTGTTTCTATTGCTGTGTGCTGGTTGGTATGAAAGCATTTTGTTGAACAACCCTGTGTTGCATAATGACAATAATTGATCCTTGAATCCTTGATCACGCTGTTGTGATGAGGACAACAACAAAACATTGCTCAAGGTTCACTGATTTGCAAAAAGCCAGTTAGTGAACCCTGACAAAAATGTCTTTCCTGGAAACATTACTGCTCAAAAATGTTGTGGATTTTTCCTTATCTTTTTGTAAACGTGTCACTTGTTATCAACCGAGTAAAAATCCAATGAGTGATTAGGGTCATTTTCTAAAAGAGGCCATCAAAACAAATTGCGAACACCCTGTGACGAATTTTAGAAAATACAGTAAATACAAAACAAATCTTAACAAGAAAATGTCGGCAAATACTTGCCACACACATGTCAAAGATGTAGAAAATATGTTGTGTATTGAACAATTATGTTGATTCACATTTAAAGAAACAAGACAGAACAGATAGAGTCCTCATTAGGCAACAAATATGTTTGCACTTATGAGCAAATAAAAAACAAACAAATTAAGACTTTTTTGTTTACATCGACAAACTGTAAACTCATTTACATTTATATGATGGAGGCATCCGATCAGATTTGTCATTTCTTCCTTCGATGTTGAGTCTTTATATCTTCCACTTCTTTCTCAATCAGGTGGTACTCTACGGTAGTCTCTGTCAACTAGAGTGGGAGATTACAAATCAGTTCATTTACGTATTACATTTTAACACATGTGAGCAGGCAGCATTATTACTGGGATTCACCTTTAATATGTTGCAAGCATGGTTCCTTCTTATACATATGGCTTCTCTAATGTTATAGTTATTTAAGGTCAAAGGTCAGTTCTTACCATGTCCAAGAGAATTTCAATCTTAAGTTTCAGGAGGTTGTTCTCTTCCTCGAGCTGTACGTTTTTTTTCTTAAGCCGCTGCACTTCCCTACCAGATGCATTCCCACCAGATTCTGGATCAACAAAAACAGAAAGAAAACAACTGCAATTATTTTTGTGTACTTTTCAAAAAAATGTCAACCCCAAATTATCACTGGTATATGTTACCTCCCCCTGGGTTCCCTTGAATTTGTGAAAACACTTGGAATGACGAATCCAAAGAAAACGCTTGTACTGTATAGAGAGGCGAAGTCCCGCCCATCTACTTCTGACCCATGGGACCTTGTTTTCGGAAATGTTTTGTATTGAAGTCAATGGGGAGAGAAAGATTATCTTTCGATCCCGTTTGAATTGTGCCACGAATTACACATATGATGTTTGTCAATCTTAAATAATAATTTCCATGTCAAAAAAGTCACAGTTTGGCGTAAAACTGTTGAAATATAAGACTATGAAAAATACGCAACTAGAAAGACTACAAATCCCAGAATCCCGGTCCCGCATGCTGGCTCTCACGGAACCGACTAACTCCCCTTGTGTGTATGCACAGCTCTCAACGTGCCCAGACTTGGAGTGATTTTCACCTCGTTTAATACTTTCCGCCTCATTCTGAAAGAAAGAAGTGGAATGTTCCAACCTGACGACCGTCTTGGTGTGTGGTGCGAGACGGGAGATGTAGTTCATTGAGCGTTTCACACACAACAAGTGTTACTTCACAGTTTTACGACACATTGTAATTTTCTTGACTTGCAAAATTATCTTTTAAATTGACAAACATCATATGTGTAATTCGTGGCACAATTCAAACGGGATCGAAGGATAATCTTTCTCTCTCCATTGACTTCAATACATACTTTTTCCGAAATAAGGTCCCATGGAGGAAAGGGAGGGACTTCGCCTCTCTATTCCCCTCTATTGGCATGCAAGAACAAAACCAGTTTCCTTCACAAATATTGGTAAAAGTTGGTATACAATTGTCGTGTTGGGGTGAGATATCCATTAAAACAGTGGAAGCAGCCATTGTTATGCTCTTTATTTAACAATGTCCAAACTCATTACCTGAGATCCACTGTCCATCTTCAAATTTCCAACTCTGACCTCCGAGGTTCATCACAGGAGGTCCGTACTCAAGGCCCAGCTCCACCTCTCTCGTCGAGCGATCCAACTTAAAGGGATGAAGGGTAGAAAACATAGTCAGTATGAGGAGGATAAAATAATGGTAAACAATAGATCAGTCTGAATGAACACCCAATGAAAATAATATAGAGCTGTAGCTTTATAGCACAATCCACTCATTTGCTGTATCAAAACACGTTAATTATTGATCAGAAATCAGAATCAGAAAATTGCAAGTATGTTTACACATACGATGAATTTTCCTTGACGTATATGGTACATACAAACACACAGTTAAAGAAGATAAATATTAAGAAAAGCAACCAAAGAATAAAACAATTATAAAAACAATTAAATATTGACATGAAATATAGATAAACCAAAAAACTATGTGCATTTAGTTTATCCCCTAGGGATCATCATAGTATTGTAAATAAGGGATCAAAACAAAATAGAGGTATTGGTTAATTGTAATGCATCCATTCGTGCACATTATGAAACTAGTGTCTTTAGCACAATGCTTCTGCAATAAAAACAGTGTTTCCTCTTTACTCACCGTATGAAGGCTGGACAGAGAAGCAGATTTGCGAGGTGGAATCTTCTTCGGACTGAACGTGCTCCCAAAGAGCGGCATCTTTAGTGATTTCTTAAGGTCCTGTATAAAACACCACACACCAATTGTAGTATTAGTATTTATCCACAGTGCTGTAAATGTGTTTATCGTTGCCAAAGCTACACTATAGAGCTAATGCTAGTAGGCTAACACTCGCTAGCTACTCATAACATTACCTTACATGCAATTGAAAATGTCGACTGCTTCACAGCAGGTTGGTTAGTAGTTGTTTTGTCACTTAGAATATTTATATCTCATATATTTACCTCCATTAAGACTAGTTATTTAATTTTTCGACTCTCGTCTGCTGCAAACAAACCATACTTGCTACTGCGCACGCGTGGAATGTTCCATTTTGCATTAGGACTACACTCTGAAATACTGTACGGGTTTTATACAAAGCTTGCCAATACCAGCTTGATAACGATATTAAGAACATATTTCAGCGCTTGTATTGGTTATCTATGACATTTTTGGGATATTCTAATAACCAAAGTCTTTAAACATCAAAATAAATACCCATATTTAGGTGAGATAATGGGACCATCCATGGAACGTATGTGTATCACCATGGAGATTGCGACGCTTGGACTTTCCACAAGCTTTTATATACCTTTTTCTTATACATATTAGTATTTTAGACAATTACAAATCCTATGTCAGAAACAGTACTAGTAAAAACGTAGATTTATACTTTCCATTCCTGTGAATATCAATAACCTGTATCGTAATATAAAGGACTTAGGCCACGCCCATGTGTATGCCGCCCCAGTGGCCTAATGGATAAGGCACTGGCCTCCTAAGCCAGGGATTGTGGGTTCGAGTCCCATCTGGGGTGATCTGTTTTTCTTTTTTTCTGTGAAAAAATGGAAACTGCCGAGAAAATGCGCGCTGTGTCAGAAAATGTGTGCAATTGAAAGGACCAGCCACCAGAAAAGAAGCACCCCGTCGGTTCTTGAGAAATCGCGGTTCTGTGCTGAAATAAGAACATTTATTTCCTAGTTAACAGCTAACATGGAGACCATTGAACTGTGCATGCTGCTGCTGAGCACTTCGGTGCAAACTTACCGTGAGTAGCAGGTCCATGGCTGGTATGGAAATTGCAAAACGATGTTGTTAATCAAATACAGTTTCACCTATATGTTTACAAAATGCATTTTTTAAAGTGTGTTCTCTTCTGATGTATTTCGTTCTATTTTATTAGCGTTTAAAAGTGACTAAAATGTAAATGTAATGACACATAATGCCACATTAATGGGCTATAATAGTCAAGAAATTAAAATACTTTTTTATTTTAAAGATTTATTTAGTCAATAACTCATGTTATTAACTAATGTTGTATTGGTTTTGTCAATTAATCAATCAAATTATTATTAATAATTATATTTATTTTAAAATGGTAAATATATTTTACTTGAATCAGCATGAGGTTTATTATAGAGTGGGTTTTTACATAAATGGTTTTGCTTTGGTGTATAATGGTGCATACATAAACATAATAAGATAAATGAATATGGAAAAACAAGAGCAATTATTTACTAGAATTGTAAATAAATGAAATATTCTAATATTATTAAAAAAAATATGGAACAAATAAACAAGACGAAATGTAATTAAAATATGACAAATAACTGTGAAAAATATTTGTACAAAGAAATTCAATTCAAGTTTGACAATTAACAAAAAAAAGGTATGTACAGGAAACATACATTTACAAAAAAGGAAATCCAATAAATGTATGACTGTGAATATTACAAAAATATTACAAAACTAAATATCTGAAATCAAGCAACACATAGGAAAATGTTAAAATATTTTTATTTCCAAGCTGTGTTTTTACATATAGCTTATTCTAATGGTGTCATGACATTATCTTACATAATGAATGTTATCCAACTTCAACCCTGTGACCCTGCCCATCCTCCTCCGATGGTAGAGCTCCGAGAGGCCACCGTGTATTGGGACGCTGCCCAGAAAAGGGTACTCCTCAAGGAGGGGGTGATGGAGAGCGAGGGGGGGGCCTACGGGTTCTTCAATGACACCCTGCTGCTCTCGGGATGGGGCGTCCTGGAGATCTCTGCAGGTCATGGAGCAGGAAGTACGCAGGAAGACGAGACCACTTTCTTCCTGGCGGGGTACCTGGAGGGTTATCTCACTGCTGGGTGAGGTTCACAAAGAGCACACACCTTCACAATCAATGGAAACTCTCCGAAAGTGTTTATATTACCTCGCAGGCGCTTGAAAACAAAAAATACATATGAAAAATGAGTTATGAGACTTTTAATGTATTTTGTTTGTTGTTTTATCCAATAAACATTACATGCCTGCTAATAACTACTTATGGCTTTACTTTAATGGTTTGATTCCAGCTTTTCTTCTTCTTTCTCTGCAGACAGATGTTCAGTCATTACTCCAACATGTACCCTCAGTTCCTGAAGGATGAGAAGGTTCTGAATCCTCTGAAAAGGTTTTTAAGGTACTGTTCACGGCTCAAGATTAAACCTGTTGGTAGAAATGTGTCTGTCAGTGGCTTCATCTTCAGTTACAGTCGGTTTAGATCAGGGGGGTCAAACTCAAATACACAGTGGGCCAAAATAAAAAAATGGGTACTAGTCGAGGGCCGGACTGGTTCAATGTTTATTGCAAAACGTATTGAAATGAACTTAATGCACATATTAAACCTGGAACTAACAAAGCTTACATTATTGCCTATAAAAACAATATTAAACATTAAATAATCAGTTGCATTCATTTCTTATGGCTCTATCTGCAGCTTTTCCAGAGTCATTTCTTATGAGTACATTTTCCCACAGGCCAACAACAGCTTCAACAAAACTATCCCCCTCAAAGAGAAAACCAAACATGCCCTGTTGTCGTGAGAGAAAGTGCAGAAGGAAACATCCATTGAACTCAGTGTGCTGCTCTGTGATGCTAGCTCAGATACTTGGCATCTCATCTTGGGTGCAAGGTCATCAATGTTTGGGCTCAGGCTCTGAGCGGAGGAGACCCTCAGGATGGAGTGAAGGTGTGCGTGCAATATACCGGCGGGCCAGATCTAACAGTAATTACAAATTATCCTGCGGGCCGAAATTAAATCTCCCACGGGTCTGATTTGTTCTCCGGGCCTTGAGTTTGACACATGTGGTATAGATCAATGGATCAGAAAAATTATTTGTGATAAATGTGAATGAAAATGTATTATTATGAGTTTCCATGGAGAGTTAATGATTTTTCAGTTTAGTTTTTACATCTCAATAAATAGGTTTCCTTGTTGAAATACTCAAGATCTGCAAGTTATCATATATTATTATAAATACATATAGCAGGGTCAATAAGTAAATGACCCTGCTATATGGAGAGTTCAAGACCACTGCTTCCATATATGGGTTATGCAGAGTAACTTTCACTGTTTGTGCCCTGCTGCAAACATGTGTGACAATTAAACGTTTATTTGAAATGAATTCTCCATTTCCATTTCCCACAGCAAGCAGGACCAGTGGTCCAGAGAGCAGGTGAGGCTGAGGAGACACAGCGACCCCCTCTGGAAACACTTGGGACTGATCCTGGCCCAGCTGGATGGTCTCCAGGCCGGAGCGGCACGCTGGGCCAAGAGCAAACACAGAGAGGTGTGTGTGGGAAGGTTAGATTAGATTCAACCCTCATTGTCATCGCAAGGACAGCGAAATGCACTTGAATCTGAACAGCATTGCAATCATCATCAGCTTTATTGAAGAGACTCAAGGTCCATTTTTAAAAGACATACCAATGTTTCCACAGAGGTGACGCCCATGTACTGAGACAAGGATTTGACAGCAGCATAATGACAACATTAAGAGAAACATTCAATCGACAGATACATTTTATATTGATCAATCCAGTTTCATTTATTTGGCACAATATCACACGTTACACATATGTCTAATGGGCGAACTGCTGTCTTTAGACTCTAACCCTAACCTTAACCCAGCGCACAAAATACAAATCCCAAATAATAAATAATAAATAAATAAACCCTTAAATTAAGTTGTATCTTGTGACGTTTCATCTTTTTACTTTCCTTACACACTTAACGTACCGTCTGGTCAGCTAGGATAGGGCTTTAAACACATGCAGTTCCTTACAGAGAAACCTAGGCGTAACATACATTACATTACATTACATTGCATTTAGCTGACGCTTTTATCCAAAGCGACTTACAATAAGTACATTCGACCAGGAAGACACAAACTTGAAGAAAACAGAATCATATAAGTACATCAGGTTTCATAGAGCCAAACATTTCAAGTGCTACTCAACTGGCTTTAGGTAATCCAGTCCTTTATTAGTATATAAGTGCTTTGTTAATAGTTCTAACGCTCGAAGTGGAGTCGAAAGAGATGAGTTTTCAGTTTGCGCCGGAAGATGTGCAAGCTATCTGCCGTCCTGATGTCAATGGGGAGCTCATTCCACCATCTTGGAGCCAGGATAGCAAACCCACGTGTTTTCGCCGATGGGAACTTGGGTCCCCCTCGCAGCGAGGGCGCAGCGAGTCGTTTGGCTGATGCAGAGCGTAGTGCACGCGCTGGGGTGTACGGTTTAACCATGTCCTGGATGTAGGAAGGGCCAGATCCATTCGCAGCATGGTAAGCAAGTACCAGTGTCTTGAAGTGGATTCTAGCAGTTACCGGAAGCCAGTGAAGGGAGCGGAGGAGCGGAGTGGTGTGGGAGAATTTAGGAAGGTTGAAAACCAGACGAGCCGCTGCATTCTGGATGAGCTGCAGAGGTCGGATGGCACATGCAGGTAGACCAGCCAGGAGGGAGTTGCAGTAGTCTAGGCGTGAGATGACGAGAGCCTGGACCAGAACCTGAGTCGCTTTCTGAGTCAGCTGGGGACGCATCCTCCTGATGTTGTAAAGCGTGTATCTGCAGCAGCGGGTTGTAGCAGCGATGTTTGCAGTGAAGGACAGGTTGTTATCTAGGGTCACACCCAGATTCCTTGCAGTCTGAGTCGGGGAAACAACTGAGGTGCCAATGTTGATTGTCAGGTCAAGAGTTGGACAATCTTTTCCCGGGAGGAAGAGCAGCTCAGTCTTGTCAAGGTTGAGTTTGAGGTGGTGAGCAGACATCCACTGAGAGATGTCAGCTAGACAAGCAGAGATGCGTGCGACGACCTGGGTCTCTGAGCGGGGAAAGGACAGAATTAATTGGGTGTCGTCAGCGTAGCAGTGGTATGAACAACCATGCGGGCTAATGACTGATCCGAGCGAGTTTGTGTACAAGGAGAAGAGGAGGGGACCAAGAACAGAGCCCTGAGGGACCCCCGTAGTTAATTGACAAGGGTCGGACTCAGACCCTCTCCAAGTCACCCTGTAGGTACGGTCTTTCAGGTATGAGGTGATGAGGGAAAGTGCAGAGCCAGAAACTCCAAGTTTTTGGAGAGTGCGAAGGAGGATCTGATGATTCACCGTGTCGAATGCAGCAGACAGGTCCAACAGGATGATGACAGAGGAGAGGGATGCAGTTTTGGCAGTGTGCAGTTCCTCCGTGACAGCAATGAGAGCAGTTTCTGTGGAGTGACCTGCCTTGAAACCAGACTGGTGCGGATCCAGAAGGTTGTTCTGATTGAGATAACAGGAGAGTTGTTTAAAGACAGCGCGTTCAAGTGATTTAGACAGGAACGGGAGGAGAGAGACAGGCCTGTAGTTTATAACATCAGACGGGTTGAGAGTGGGTTTCTTTAGGAGAGGGTTTACTCTTGCCTCCTTGAGACTGTTTGGAAAGTGACCAGAAGTTAGAGAAGTGTTGATGAAATGGGTGAGAAACGGTAGAATATCAGGAGCGATAGTCTGAAGGAGGTTTGAAGGGATAGGGTCCAGAGGACAGGTGGTAGGGCGGGCAGAGGTAATGAGGGTAAGAACCTCACTTGGAGAGAGAGGGGAAAAGGAGGTTAGTGTGTTGGTGGAAGGAGAGTCTGGTGACCCAGCGGTGAGTAAAGGTGAGTCAGAAAAAGAAGAGCGAATATCATTAACCTTTTTTTCAAAGTGGGTAACAAAGTCGCTTGACAGAAGTGAGGAGGGGGGAGGAGCTTTTGGAGGGTCCAAGAGGGTGGAGAAGATGGAAAATAGTTTTTTAGGATTGGAATAGGAAGATTGGATCTTATCTTGAAAGGCATTAGGCATTAGGCTCTTTCATAACAAAGTGTAAAGGTTTTCCCCGGCTGGACAAAATGCATTATTAAGTAGTAATATCAGGCCAGCATTACATTTGTGAATTTACACAAATTATGTATCACTATATACACTCTTATGGCACTACTTCTATTCTAGTTTATTGTATTTACTTGCACTATTTTATCTGTTGTATTGTGTTGCACTGTGGGAGGAGCCTGTGACCTAAGATTTTCATTGACATAACTGCACTGTAGCTCTGCACTCATGACAATAAAAGCCTTCAACCTTGAATCTCTCTGGGGGGGAGATGTCATTTAGTTCATCTCCCCCCCCCCCCCCCTTCCCTCTCAGCCTCTCTCAGCGTTCGCCCTGCAGTTTCTGAATGGCGTTGGCGACCTCCTGGATCTGGTCCCGGCTCTGACGCCTCGCTCCAAGTCCTCCTCAGCGGCCGGCGCTCTCAGGACGCCGGGCATGGGCCACTGCACGGCTCTCATCAAGGTCAGGAGGGGCTCATTTGGCTGCAGCTGAGAGGAGGGCGCACTTGAGAAGACTAATTAGTTTTATTGTGGTTGATTTGTTTTTCTCGTGTGAAGTGTGAGTGAAAGGCCAATGGGAGGAGGATGTTTCCAACTCTCTGTATTTAATGTTTTAAAGGGGCCCTATGATGCTCATTTGAGGTTCTTATCAGTATGTAGTGTCTCTACTGTGACATGTCTCCTTGCTTTAATGTTCAAAAAGCTCTTTATTTTTCTCATACTGCAGCACCTCTTTTCACCCTCTGTCTGAAACCAGAGCCCAGTCTGCTCTGATTGGTTAGTTAGCCGGTTCTATTGTGATTGGTCAACCACTTAGAGATGTCCCGCCCCTTAGCCTATCACGTACAATGTGTTGGAGCGCTAGCCATAGAACTGTAAGTGTTATATAGTGATCAACTATGTTAAGACAAAGGAGTCCAATTGGAAAAAACAAAGCTTTTACATTAACAGTAAAGTACAATCATTTACTTAAGAGCAGTTAAATAGTATTATTATCATTCTTTTATTTATTTAAGTCTATATCTGACTACCCCCCCCCCCCCCTCTGTGTCTAAGGTTCTTCCGGGCTTTGAGAACCTGCTGTTCGGACACTCCAGCTGGTACACGTACGCAGCCACCATGCGCATCTACAAACACTGGGACTTCAGGGTGTCCGACACACACACCGCCACTGGGAAGATGTCCTTCAGCAGCTACCCTGGTACACACACACACACACACACACACACACACACACACACACACACACACACACACACACACACACACACACACACACACACACACACACACACACACACACACACACACACACACACACACACCGCCACTGGGAAGGTGTCCTTCAGCAGCTACCCTGGTACACACACACACACTCACACACACACATACACACACACACACACACACACACACACACACACACACAGCCACTGGGAAGATGTCCTTCAGCAGCTACCCTGGTACACACACACACACACACACACACACACACACACACACACACACACACACACACACACACACACACACACACACCGCCACTGGGAAGATGTCCTTCAGCAGCTACCCTGGTACACACACACACACACACACACACACACACACACACACACACACACACACACACACACACACACACACACACACACACTACAGTACTCACTTTCTCCTAGTTAAATGAATTTTCTGATTAAGGGTCAACTATGTCATTGCAATTAAGGCATTGTAATTGTTTAACATTAGTGCCTTGAAGTATTTATTGATTGTTGCATTTACATGTATCCTTATCTAAAGAGCACCTCACTCTCTTGTTTCGAGTACAGGAAGAGCTTAGTGAAGATAGTAAAGTAAATTATAATTGTCTTACGCACAACAGCTGTAGTGCATTTTTTGGCAATTATATTTTGAAGTCCCTGGCTTGCACATATAAAGAACCATAACATATTGAGAGTGGTATCATGGTGCAAGTCAAATACAGGAATGAAGCTTTCTTATGAAAGCCCTGAGCTGAGGTGAACTGCTGTCCTTAATCCGCTGTTTTATTTTCATTTTGGGAAAAAATCAAATGCATAGAGGATTTAACCTTAATCCTTATTGTGCGTTCTCTACTGAACGTCATTCTTCTGCTAAGCACACAGCTTAGTAAGTCAAGGACGGGGAAACGTGTGTACAAAACCCAGTTATGATGAAATGCAGTCATTTTGAGAGTAATTTTGCAAAGTTTTCCCGAGTGATGCAGCCCATAAAATCCTCTTGCAGTCTTCATTGCTGTCTGAAGAAAGGTGATTTAATGCACTATTTTTAGAGGCTTACAGGCCAAAGAACGTCACATCACTGTATTAAAACAAAGAGATTAAATACAACGCAAACACTGGAGTAGTGTGTGACCGTCTGCTGCCCTCTTAAGCTGCTTTCTGTCTGACAATGTGAAATAGTTAACACACACAGCAGGTCAGAGCCAGCAGAACAAGAAAAGACACAATACGGTAGAGGTGGAAATATTCCTATGACTAGAATTTATATTATTAATAGCTGCAGCCGTATTGTAGATTCATTATTAATAGTAGGCACAGCTGAAAATGTAGTTATGGTAGTTCAAACATTTTGAATTGTTGTTATGCTGTCCAGGATATTTCCTTTCCTGCGAAGAGACGCCGGACAGAGAGTCCATTTTATATATCTCTATAATGAGGTGTCAGGACCTCGACACAAACTGATGAACCCAAATGCATGACCCAGAGACAAAGTCTTGAATGTAATAACATGTATTTATTAATTCCAATGATCAGGAAATCCCTCTTAACAGAGTAGGTGCTGGAATAAACAAAAAGCGCTCACAAGGAGGAAAAAACTAAGCATAACAAAAGAGAACTTAAGAAAAAACTTAAGCCTACAAAAATCAACAAAATAACAAAACATGACACGAGTGAAAGCGATCCTTTCTGAGTAGAGGCTTGGCACGACCATCCGGGGAAACAAACAAGACGAACTGACACAGGACAGGACACTTTAAACATGAGGTGAGTGGGGACAGGTGGAAACAATCAGGGGCGGGGCAGACGCTGATGATGGCGGGAAAACACACAGGGGGAGGAAGAAACAGGGCCTGACATGAAAGACAAGAGTTGAGTACACAATAAAACAGAGACTAGCGGCAGGTCTAATAACTCCAATTGAAGAAGTGAACATGAACACTGATTATGAATGATTCCTTCAACCCTTAATCAGGAAAAGTAATTATTGGACCCATTTATCACAAGCAACCTATCTTTGGCAAACGCTGACACTAAAATGACATTTTTCAGACGGACAAGTTAACTTGGTTTGAGACCAATTTGTTTGGCAAATCTGGAAACAAGGTGCTAAAAGTTAGGTTAAAGGTGGGGTAGGTAAGTTTGAGAAACCGGCTCGAGATACACTTTTTGTTATATTCCATGGAATGCTCTTAACATCCCGATAGCAATGAATATCTGAAGTCATTTGACAACAAATCCATAAAAAAAACGTCATCTGTGGAAGCCGTGGCGCTGTAAAAAGCACGACCAATCATCTGAGCCACATCAAGGTGGAACGCTCTTCCCACAACTGTAAAGGAAAGTAAAACTATACTTACCTTCAAAACCTCTCTTAAAGAGCACCTTCGGGGGAGAGCATTGCAAAACTGGCCCCGGTAATGGTACAAATCTCAACCTGTCGTTCAATGGACAGCTTCCCCCCCCCATCTATGTATATACTCTTATTTTAGACTCTGTTACTAACTGTATATCTGTAGACTTGGTATGTCTTAAATGTCCGGTTAGGATGTATTAGAACGAAATCTAAAATGAAAATTGTAAATAAGCAATCTGTATGTAAAAAACCACCTGTATGTAAATTGTAAATAAGCCATCTGTATGTCAAATATGTCTTATATGTCTTAAATGATATGATGAATTGGAAATGGGGGACCCTGATGTAAACAAGACGAAAGTCTTTCTCTGGTCTGCATCCCCTTAACAATTGTATGTTTTGAGCTGTACTGTACTGTACCCAATATACAAGCTGTTAATAAACTTTTCAATCAATCAATCAAGCCGGCCCGGCTAAAATAACTGGATGGCCTACCTGCCTGTCAGCCTTCCATCTGTGCACAAACTTATCTCGTGCCCTCATTGGTCATGTGCGCGTTCGTGTGTGTTGGAGGAGGGGCTCTGTAAGGAAGTAGCAGATTTCTTCCGGCTGCGTACTTTCAAATTCTAGTGCACTTGAGCTGGTTTCTCCAAAATTACCTACCCCACCTTTAAGTGGGTCAAACATAAGCTAACGTCAACTCACGTTCGCAAAACCTTCAGCTAGGTAATTTTTTTTGGATGCTCAAGATGTAAATATCTATTGCTAGCAAAATAAGATGTTAATAAATTAGACCAAGCCCGCTAGGAAGACAGGAAGTGTGTTGGGGAAATATTTTTCTGCGCCCATAACTTTGACCCAGTGTATCAGTTGTGTACTGCCCTCACTGAGCACAGGCCTGCAACCTTGGCTGCTGTGCTCTCAGTGTTTTGTCTCCTTATTCCTGCCTGTTGGCGTCAGCTCATAGAGGTGTTATGGTTTTATCTTGTTATGCACCATGTTGATTATTCTCTCAGAACCAGCTAAATACATGGGTCTGGGATATAGAGATCTTCAGAATTGGTTTGGTAACCGCTGTGTCACCTCGTGGCACACGATATGTCTTGTGAATTCTCCGGCCGAAGCTCCAAACAAACTATCAGTGTTTGCCATCAAAGTTCCTGCTCCCCTCGTGTCTCTCTGAGTCCTGTCTCCATTGCTTCAGAAGTTTCCATCACAAAGTGGATTCCATTTTGTAACCATTGGCATCAATTTCTAAGGTGATAGCCTCTGACCTCCTCCGCTCCTGCAGGCTTCCTGATGTCTCTGGATGATTTCTACCTGCTGGGCAGTGGCCTCCTGATGACCCAGACCTCCATCGGGCTCTTTAACTCCTCCCTCTTCTCCCTGATTGGTCCTCACAGCCTGCTGGCCTGGCAGAGGGTCCGCCTCGCCAACATCCTGGCTCTCAGCGGAGAGGAGTGGGCGTACATCTTCTCCAAATACAACTCGGGTGAAAGGATGTCGAAGGAAGGGATGGATGGATGGATAGATAGATGGATGGATGGATGGATAGATAGATAGATAGATAGATAGATAGATGGATGGATAGATAGATGGATGGATGGATGGATGGATAGATAGATGGATAGATGGATGGAGAGATAGATAGATAGATGGATGGATGGATGGATAGATGGATGGATGGATGGATGGATAGATGGATGGATGGATGGATAGATAGATAGATGGATAGATGGATAGATAGATATATATATATATATTATATATATATATAGATAGATAGATAGATGGATGGATTATTTTAGTAGTAACTGTTCCATGTGTCTTGATCCAGGAAACAGAGTTCTCTTCTGTGTTTTAGGTACCTACAACAGTCAGTACATGGTGGTGGACCTGAACCGGGTTTCTCTGGGTCGCAGAATAAGAGACGGAGCGCTCACTCTGGTGGAGCAGATTCCCGGGAAGGTGATGCACTCGGATCAGACTCAAGCTTTACGCAGGGGTAAGAAACAACACGTTCATAAATCCAGAGGTTTTCAGGTGGTCATTTGTCTGCTTCCTCAATGTTTTGCAGGTTATTGGCCGTCCTACAACATACCATTCCACGAGGAAATCTACAACCTGAGTGGGTACAGTGCGATGTGGAAGAGATACGGAGAGGACTTCTCTTACGACCTCTGCCCTCGAGCTAAAATCCTCCGCAGGGACCAGGCCAAGGTGTTCGACCTCAGCTCCCTCAAACACATCATGAGATACAACAGTAGGTGTTACAAAAACTCTTGCATTCTTCAAATCATAGATAATCTCTTGGATTTAAAGGGAAGGAAGCGAAGTGAGAAAATTAAATCTCATTTAAAGTCTAGATAAAATAATATCTTTCCTGTTTTTATGAAAAGGTTTTTATTTTGTAGTACTACTTTGTGTTTTCTGTTTTAATTACTTATAATTTAATATGAGACATTATCCTGGTAAAAGCATTTTTTCCATCTGTTTTTAATTCATAAACCCATTAAAACCAAACTATTTCAATCAGATTTTGATCTTAAATTGATGATCACACTTTTATTTTCACACGTCTTCTGTACAAAAGGCTTCAGTGATGTGGTAGAAAGCACACACACACAAATCAGGACATTAAAAGACTATCAGGTGCATAATAAATATCAGACACACTCTGTTTCAGACTACAAGAGGGACCCCTACTCTAAAGGCCATCCGTGTAAAACCATCTGCTGCCGCAACGACCTGAGACCACGGAGACCCCGTCCTGGAGGATGCTACGACACAAAGGTCAGAGGTCATCAGCACAGAATCAGGTTTCTGATATGTACTGTAAAACTGATTATGCTGACATGTTTACAGGTACATTCAGGTAGGAATATAGCTTTGGCTATAGACATGAGTTTTATTTCATATTATAAAGTCATATTTAAAAAGGGACCATACTAAAACTATTCAAAAGATGATTAATGCCAGATTTAACTAAAAGTACATTTCCATTCTCATTCCTGGAGCCGGGTAAACACATTTATAACTTTATTTATAAAGACAATAAACAGACAATGCTAACCTATTCACCATTTTAACTACTTAGACTTAGACATACTTTATTGTCATTTCAACAAGACACAGAGTGTACTATTAAAACGAAATTTCGTTGTACTGGCTTACAGGAACAGGACAATATAAAAATATAAAATTATACATATAAATAGTGACGTGGTGCTGATAAAATTAAAGATAAAGTGTGCGTTTAAAATATAAAGACTTACTATACATATAAATAAAATAGACATACTATATAGAAAATATGTGCGCTTTACACAGCGTAATGTAATCTCTATGAACATCTTGTGTTAGGATAAGACGAATGGGGAAATGGCCCCATTCCCCTTTTTAACCCTTCCCCTGGTAATCAAAGAGGTGCATATCATATGATCACTGGGCAACCCTGACTGAAAGCTAACATGGAAATGAGTTTGTTTCTTTTAAGCTTTGTTCAGAGGCTTTTCCACTTTAAAGGGAAACACTGAATCCTTTCATTTCTGGTTTTAAAAAGGTCAAACTGTATTTGATGAGCAGTTTTAAAATGTCATGGAACAAGCATTGGTTGTAACCAAATTTTATATAAAGAATTCAAGGTCATGTGAACTAGGTTTGGCGACGAATACCTAGAATCTCAATCTCCTCTAACTATGCAGCAGGCGATATACTTAAAAGTAAAATAATGCAATAGACAAAATAATTCAATTATGTTAAAGGAGTAAGAACAGTAGAATAAGATAACACACAATGTAAACACTTTTAAATAAAAAATACTGTTAACTATAATCAAATGTAAATATTTGGACATAAGGACGATAAACAAATGTGCTAATGTTAATTATGGACAAGACGTATGTGAGTTGAAGGGTTTCAAATTACTTATTGGCAACAAAAATGTCTTAACGGATCTCTATTTAAAGGTCACCTATTATGCAAAATCCTCTTCTTCATGTCTCTTCTACATCAACATGTGTCCCCTCTCCTTCATGTCTCTTCTACATCAACATGTGTCCCCTCTTCTTCATGTCTCTTCTACATCAACATGTGTCCCCTCTTCTTCATGTCTCTTCTACATCAACATGTGTCCCCTCTTCTTCATGTCTCTTCTACATCAACATGTGTCCCCTCTTCTTCATGTCTCCTCTACATCAACATGTGTCCCCTCTTCTTCATGTCTCCTCTACATCAACATGTGTCCCCTCTTCTTCATGTCTCTTCTACATCAACATGTGTCCCCTCTTCTTCATGTCTCTTCTACATCAACATGTGTCCCCTCTGTGGAAAGAGATTCTGAAAGTTTCAGGAACAAAGATTCTCTCTCTTTTTGTCCTGATCCATTTATACACTGAACAAAAATATAAACGCAACACTTTTGTTTTTGCTCCCATTTTTCATGAGATGAACTCAAAGATCTAAAACATTTTCTATATACACAAAATAACCATTTCTCTCAAATATTGTTCACAAATCTGAAAAAATCTGTGATAGTGAGCACTTCTCCTTTGCCGAGATAATCCATCCCACCTCACAGGTGTGGCATATCAAGGTGCTGATTAGACAGCATGATTATTGCACATGTATAGGCTGGCCACAATAAAAGGCCACTCTGAAACGTGCAGTTTTGCTTTATTGGGGGAGTCTGGGGGGGTCCGAAAACCAGGCAGTATCTGGTGTGAGGGGTAGGATTAGGGTTAGGGTTAGGGTAATGTTATGAATCGAGTGGCCTGTGTTCGTCGTCCATAACATACGCCTGCCCCCATAACCCCACCACCACCACCATGGGCCACTCAATTCACAACATTACCCTAACCCTAACCCTACCCCTAACCCTAACCCTACCCCTCACACCAGATACTGACTGGTTTTCGGACCCCCCCAGACCCCCCCCAATAAAGCAAAAATGCACGTTTCAGAGTGGCCTTTTATTGTGGCCAGCCTAAGGCACACCTGTGCAATAATCATGCGTGCCTGCTTCATAAAGCAAAACCGTGCGGAAACCCCTCACATCGACAACAACAACAATGGCCGATTGTATTGAAGCGCTACTCGTTTTGCTCTGTCGAAACGAAATGGAAGAAATGGGACGACTTTACTACCAACTTTACAATGCTACATTCAAAAGTTCTTACACAGTTACACAGTGGGCCAAAATAAAAAAATGGGTACTAGTCGAGGGCCGGACTGGTTGTTCAATGTTTATTGCAAAACGTATTGAAATGAACTTATTGCACATATTAAACCTGGAACTAACAAAGCTTAAATGATTGCCTATATAAAAACAACATTACACAGGGTTAGGCTTTTTGTTGTTGTTAGAGGTTGATCTCGCCCCTGCCCCCGTCTCCGACGTAGGCGTGACGTATGCGCTGCTTGCTTTCTAGACCGACAACTTTTTGGTGCTTGAAACGAACCGGATTCCGGAGCTTAGAGGCGGCTCCGCTGCAGGAAAAAACGGTGCTTTTCAAGCTCCAGCTCCGAACCGGCCCTGGAACCGCGTTGGTGTGAAAGGGGTACTAGAGCACCATAGTGTTCTTTTTAACCAAATATCTCTCAGAGGGGCGTGGGGAGTGGCCCCTTATTTTCATCTAAAGTAACAGACAGAGAATCAGCACTTTTGAAACAGGGCTGAAACAGAGGGGATTATGGGTAATGCTGCAATGATCTGTTTTGTGTTTGGAGCCAAACACTTCAGAGACATGTTTTGTATATATCTGAGACCTATAATATGTTGATGAAAAACAGTATAATAGGGGACCTTTAATATTAAATATTAAATGAGCCAACTTTCCTTCTATAACTCCCTCTTCCTCCTCTCCTCTCTCATGGTGCAGGTGACAGATTACCAGATGGCGGTCCAGCTGGCGGCGGAGGCAGTAAACGGCCCCACGACGCAGGGGGGTCTGCGCCCGTTCTCATGGCAATCCTTCAACCTCACCTCCCATCATGGCCTCCCACACACCTACGACTTCCCCTTCGTCACTATGAGACCAACACTGCATCATCCCTGAGAGCACAGAGACAGAACATATAGAACCAAATCCAAGAATATGTCGTGCTTTCCTGGTCAAATCAGGAATGTTTGTGGCAACACTGAAACAAATCAGAATCGGTTTTATTACCAAGTAGATTTACACATACAAGGAATTTGCTTTGGTTTAAATGGTGCGTACAAAGACACAGAAATTATAAAAGCTATTTAAAAAAGATGTGAGCAACTGAGTACAGTCAAAATAAAATAGAATATCACAAATACTATATTCAAAGTGGAATGATGAGAAGGTTTAAAAGGTTGTAGTGTGGAGCAGAAATGTGCAACATGTGCAAAGGGTTGTACAGGATTTGCAATATTATAAAGTTTGGTTCGCATGATGTGCATTCATGTAATGTTTTTATGGGTTGGAAAACTGTCCCTGTGAGAGAGAGCTGCAGAAATTAGTCCTAAAACTGGGAAGTTAGTTAGCATTTAAGCACTTTTGGTTGATATTCTTTTATGTATTTTTGGTTAAAAGCCTAAGTTAAGGTCTCTGTTAACACATGCTAGCTTCTGGGATCGGACTACACAAATGTGTCACCTTTGTAGAACTTAATTTAGTCTAAAACCAGAAGAGTCCCAGTATAAATACAACTAGCAACAATGGGAAATGAGTGGTTGAGATTACATATATGGCCATCAGGGTAATGTTATTAAATAAAAACGTATTTGTTTGTTGTTTAAAGCTCTATGCCAGGGGGGTCAAACTCAAATACACAGTGGGCCAAAGTAAAAAAAATGGGTACTCGTCGAGGGCCAGACTGGTTCAATGTTTATTGCAAAACTTATTGAAATGAACTTATTGCACATATTAAACCTGGAACTAACAAAGCTTAAATGATTGCCTATAAAAACAACATTAATAATAATAATACATGAGACTTGTTTAGCGCTTTTCAGGAAACTCAAAGACGCTTTGACAGACAATTAAAAAAAAAAAAGAAAAAGAAAAGAGATAAACAAAATAGGGGGGGGGGGTTAGTGGTTGAATCCAGTGTTGAACAGGTGGGTTTTGAGTGATGTTTTGAATGCTGTGAGGGAGGAAGAATCTCTGATGGATTGGGGTAGTGAGTTCCAGAGGGTGGGTGCAGCAACGGAGAAGGCTCTGGACTTGAGGTTGGTCCGGGTGGGGAGGGACAGGAGGTTGGCAGTAGCAGAGCGGAGGGAGCGAGTGGGAGTGTGTCTGTGGAGGAGGTCAGTTAGGTAGGATGGACATTAAACATTAAATCATCAGTTGAGTCATTTCTTATGATTACATTTTTCCACAGGCCAACAACAGCTTCAAAAAAACAATTTCCCTCAAAGAGAAAAACAAACATGCCCTGTTGTCCTGAGAGAAAGTGCAGAAGGAAACATCCATTAGACTCAGTGTGCTGCTCTGTGATGCTAGCTCAGATACTTGGCATCTCATCTTGGGTGCAAGGTCATCAATGTTTGGGCTCAGGCTCTGAGCTGAGGAGACCCTCAGGATGGAGTGAAGGTGTGCATGCAATATACCGGCGGGCCAGATCTAATAGTAATTAGAAATTATCCTGCGGGCCGAAATTAAATCCACCAACAGCCTGATTTGGCCCCCGGGCCTTGAGTTTGACACATTACATATTACAATACATGTCATTTGTTAGAGGCTTTTATCCAAAGCGACTAACATATATTCACATGTGCTCTATGCAATCTTTCCTCAGGTTTAAACTGTAACAAAATGATCTAACTACATTTTAATGAAAATATCATCTTTATATATTGCAATAAAGTGTGTTGCATTTTCTTCTTTATTTAGTATGCAGAATAGTTATACAATAAACGACAATACACAACATTTTTTGTCTTGGTCAAGTTAGTCAAAGAGCACTTGTATTTCTTGAATATGTTTGATACAAAATATCCCTTCAGGTTGGTATTGGTCGGTTCAGTTTGTTTTCCGGTCTCTTGGTTGATCTATCTCCATGAGAAATAAAGAAAAATAAATTAAGTTAAACCGTATACAGTCATGATCACTGGAATGGGTTTACTTTCCACTGTCATACACTCTTATGTTATCTAAATGACAGGTTAGATTGCCGCCCAAACTGCTTAAGGTCCTCTATTATACTGTCTTTCATCAACAGGTCTCAGATATACAGTCAGAACATGTCTCTGAAGTGTTTGGCTCCAAACACCAATCAGATCATTGCAGCATCCCATAATCCCCACTGTTTCAGCCCTGTTTCAAAGGTGCTGATTCTTTGTCTGTTACTTTAGATGAAAATAAGGAGCCCCTCCCCACGCCCCTCTGAGAGAGATTTGGTTAAAAAGAACACAATAGCCGCTTTCACACCATGTACTTTGCCGTACTTAGTTCCCAGCATTTAGTTCCCCCATGGAACTAAAGAGCCGATCACGTTCACACCGGAATAAATTCCCTGAGGGAAGATTACGCAAATGAAGCCGCTGACGTCACTTCTTCTTCTGCTTTGGGTTTACTGGCAGGCCGCAAACAACTTCACGGCGTATACTGCCACCCGAAGTCCCCGGCCGGAAGTCCCCGGAGTTGGGGACTGGCTTCAGTAGAAGCTGCTAAATACGGCACTAAAAATCTCTTTTTGGTGTGAACGCAAAATTCCAGGCACTATCGGAACTAAACTGGAAAAGTACGGGTAAAAGTACTCAGGTGTGAAAGTGCCTAATGTGCTCTAGGAGGAGATTCAGGTGATAAGGTGGGGGGGGGGGGGGTACCTTGGTTGCTGATTGGCTAATGGTTACACAAGACAAACAATCGTTATGACATCATAAAGTGGCCAAAATCTGATACGTTTTTATATAAATGGATCTGGACAAAAAGAGAGAATCTTTTTTCCTGAAACATTCAGAATCTCTTTATACAGAGGGGACACATGTTGATGAAGAAGAGACATAAATAAGTGGATTTTGCATAATAGGTGACCTTTAAAATGCAATATTTCTTTGTAAATATAATATCCATGTGTTAGGAGTTAACCGTTAGAGCTTTTATTTTAAAAAGTATTACCCGGATGTGCAGTATCTCACTGCCTCTAACTTCACATTGTGGGCGGAGCTTATCCCCTCTCCTCCTAACGGACAGAAGTCTCGGAGTAGCAGCGGGCTCTCACGGTCCTCCTCTCCCCGGCTTCCTCGCTCCTTCTGCGGCTCTTTTCCTGATGGCAACGCCGGCGGATGACCCGCGGGAAACGGAGGACGTCGTCGTCGCGCTGTCGACGCACCAACACCACCACTTACAGAACATTAACAGCAACAACAATAACAATAATAACAACAACAAAGACAGTGAAGCAGGGGACAGCACGACGACGTCCAGCACCGGGAGCACGGAGCCCGGAGGCGGGAGCACGGAGCCTGGATGCGGGGTTCAGAGCCTCGGTAACGGGTCCGTGCTCAGCCCCAGCGGGGGAAATAACGGGAAATGGGTCCGGTTGAACGTGGGCGGCACCGTGTTCCTCACGACCAGGCATACCCTCCTCAAGGAGCAAACCTCGTTCCTGTACCGGCTGTGTCAGCAGCAGGACCTGCACTCAGACACCGTGAGTTACACAAGAAATTAAACTAACCTGGAGTTTTATTTATCAACTTGAAACGATGGGCTTTTGTGCACAGAAGAAGTCTTTTTTGGTTGTGTTAACAAGTCAGACTATTAGTTATGTGTTATTATAATTAGTTAGTGAAACCCATCCCTGTTAAACAATCAGACTATTATTTGTCTCATGTAACAGTGTGTGGTATTAAGTGATTAGCTAGCATTGACATTTTCTTAATTTCTTCAGAGGTGAAGGTAGTATTCAGATGCTTTACTTGAGTAAAAGTAATACATTGTTGTCAAAAATACTTAATTACAATTATAATGTACAAGTAAAACAAAAGCCCTGATTCAAATCTGTTTTAGTTTTAAAGTTATCATTGTAACACCCCTCCCTGTTAACCAATTTTACAATTATTGATTTTGTATAACAGTGTGTGGCATTTAGTGGTTAGCTAACATCAGTGGTGTAAAGTAACTAAGTACATCAACTCAAGTGTGGACTAAGTGGTGGGAGAAGTATTCAGATGTTTTACTTTAGTAGAAGTACCAAAACATTATTAACCTCTCTAATAATTATGTGTTATAACTGTGTGTGGCATGTAGTGGTTAGCTAACAGTGGTGTAAAGTAACTAAGTACATATACTCAAGTACTGAAACAAGTATTTAGATGCTTTACTTGAGAAAAAGTACCAGTACATTATTGTAAAAAATACTTAATTACAAGTTAATTCAAAATCTTACTTAAGTAAAAGTACAAATGTATTATAAGCAAGACGTTCTGCAACTAAAATTAAAACATACTACATACTTTATACAATGGATATGTGTGCTACATTTAAAAGATGTTAGGACAGAATACCCTAAATAATTAAGACTAAAGCAGTAAGTAGTACCAATACAATATTAAACGTAATAAAACAATCTAAACGTAATACAAATAAAATATAAACCTACCAAACAGAGACTGTACGGCAGGGCTATTCAATTGGTGGCCCGCGGGCCAAATCCGGCCCCGGGGTGATATTTACTGGCCCTTTGAGTATAATGTTAAAAAGTAATCTACTTGAGTGCCTTTATTCCAGAGAGGGTGTTAAATTGAGAGATAGAGGGGAAGACATTGCCTGAAAACTTCGGCTAGCTACTGTAGTGACAACCCACCTACTAGCTACTGTAGAGACAACCCACCTACTAGCTACTGTAGTGACAACCCACCTACTAGCTACTGTAGTGACAACCCACCAACTAGCTACTGCAGTGACAACCCACCTACTAGCTACTGTAGCGACAACCCACCTACTAGCTACTGTAGCGACAACCCACCTACTAGCTACTGTAGCGACAACCCACCTACTAGCTACTGTAGTGACAACCCACCTGCTAGCTACTGTAGTGACAACCCACCTACTAGCTACTGTAGCGACAACCCACCTACTAGCTACTGTAGTGACAACCCACCTACTAGCTACTGTAGTGACAACCCACCTACTAGCTACTGTAGTGACAACCCACCTACTAGCTACTGTAGTGACAACCCACCAACTAGCTACTGTAGTGACAACCCACCTACTAGCTACTGTAGTGACAACCCACCTACTAGCTACTGTAGTGACAACCCACCTACTAGCTACTGTAGTGACAACCCACCTACTAGCTACTGTAGTGACAAACCACCTACCCCACCTACTAGCTACTGTAGTGACAACCCACCTACTAGCTACTGTAGTGACAACCCACCTACTAGCTACTGTAGTGACAACCCACCTACTATCTACTGTAGTGACAACCCACCTACTAGCTACTGTAGTGACAAACCCCCTACTAGCTACTGTAGTGACAACCCACCTACTAGCTACTGTAGTGACAACCCACCTACTAGCTACTGTATGACAACCCACCTACTAGCTACTGTAGTGACACTCACCTAATCTAGCTGTAAGTCCAACCACCTACTAGCTACTGTAGCGACAACTCACCTACTAGCTACTGTAGTGACAACTACAACCCACCTACTAGCTACTGTAGTGACAACCCACCTACTAGCTACTGGTAGTGACAACCCACCTACTAGCTACTGTAGCGACAACTCACCTACTAGCTACTGTAGTGACAACCACCACCTACTAGCTACTGTAGTGACAACCCACCTACTAGCTACTGTAGTGACAACCCACCTACTAGCTACTGTAGCGACAAACCCACCTACTAGCTACTGTAGTGACAACCCACCTACTAGCTACTGTAGTGACAACCCACCCTACTAGCTACTGTAGCGACAACCCACCTACTAGCTACTGTAGTGACAACCCACCTGCTAGCTACTGTAGTGACAACTCACCTACTAGCTACTGTAGTGACAACCCACCTACTAGCTACTGTAGTGACAACCCACCTACTAGCTACTGTAGTGACAACCCCACCTACTAGCTACTGTAGTCGACAACCCACCTACTAGCTACTGTAGTGACAACCCCACTCTAGCTACGTAGTGACAACCCACCTACTAGCTACTGTAGTGACAACCCACCTACTAGCTACTGTAGTGACAACCCACCTACTAGCTACTGTAGTGACAACCACCCTAGCTACTGTAGTGACAAACCCACCTACTAGCTACTGTAGGACAACCCACCTACTAGCTACTGTAGTGACACACCCACCTACTAGCTACTGTAGTGACAACCCACCTACTAGCTACTGTAGTGACAACCCACCTACTAGCTACTGTAGTGACAACCCCACCTACTAGCTACTGTAGTGACAACCCACCTACTAGCTACTGTAGTGACAACCCACCTACTAGCTACTGTAGTGACAACCCACCTACTAGCTACTGTAGTGACAACCCACCCTACTTAGTGACAACACACACCTACAGCTACGTAGTGACAAACCCACCTACTAGCTACTGTAGAGACAACCCACCTACTAGCTACTGTAGTGACAACCCACCTACTAGCTACTGTAGTAGAACAACCCACCTACTAGCTACTGTAGTGACAACCCACCTACTAGCTACTGTAGTGACACCCACCTACTAGCTACTGTAGTGACACCACCTACTAGCTACTGTAGTGACAACCCACCTACTAGCTACTGTAGTGACAACCCACCTACAGCTACTGTAGTGACAACCCACCTACTAGCTACTGTAGTGACAACCCACCTCTTAGCTACTGTAGTGACAACCCACCTACTAGCTACTTATGTGACAACCCACCTACTAGCTACTGTAGTGACAACCCACCTACTAGCTACTGTAGAGACAACCCACCTACTAGCTACTGTAGTGACAACCCACCTACTAGCTACTGTAGTGACAACCCACCTACTAGCTACTGTAGTGACAAACTGTCATTTATTGCATCTCTGCGTGAATGAGAGAGAACAACACAAAAAGAGGTATTTAATCACATGGGACTATCATGCTCTTTTTAGTGTGTTTTTTCTACCATCCGCTCACAAGACAGCCAGTCATGCACGATAAAGAAAAGGAGAAGCGGAGGAGCTTTCATGCTTCTCCATACGCGCGAGAGAGAGAGATGTATGTGTTTCCTAGTCACATGTACGCTGAACACACTCATGAATGATGCAGATTTCTATATGCTGCAGCTGGTGACACGTGTGTGTGTGTGTGTGTGTGTGTGTGTGTGTGTGTGTGTGTGTGTGTGGTGTGTGTGTGTGTGTGTGTGTGTGTGTGTGTGTGTGTGTGTGTGTGTGTGTGTGTGTGTGTGTGTGTGTGTGTGTGTGTGTGTGTGTGTGTGTGTGTGTGTGTGTGTGTGTGTGTGTGTGTGTGTGTGTGTGTGTGTGTGTGTGTGTGTGTGTGTGTGTGTGTGTGTGTGTGTGTGTGTGTGTGTGTGTGTGTGTGTGTGTGTGTGTGTGTGTGTGTGTGTCAGTAGAGAGAAGAGGGTATGACTTCCCTTCAGTCTGGAGTCTCTAACTGTAGGCTGACATGTGTGTGCTCTTATCTTTCAAATGTCAAGTGTAAAAACATTGGGAACAGGCGGAGGAGGATATGGATAAAATGTCCCCAGTCATGGTATATGGGCACGGTACCAATACATGTGGATTATTACCTTTTACTTCATCGTTCTTTAACAGAAGGATCTGACTAATTATTGTTTAATAATCTATATTTTTTTTATCGGACTTAATCTGAAAACACAGATTACAACAGCATGAATCCAACATATATTTTTTAGCAACAATAGAAGAAAAACCTGTAAGCATTTAATAAACACTTCATTGATGATTCTAACTGTTGCTCATGAATCCACATGCTATCACAACATGGGCTAGCTAAATCACACAGCTAGTTAGCTCTGCGTTATTATTTTACTAATTAAGTATACCTTGTCATCAACAATTCAAAACTAAACTAAAAAAATTGCAGATTACTCCAGCTAACAAATATTGGGTATTCCCAGAATCAATATTTTTTTTTAGAAATAATAACTTCTCAGTTCGTTTATTTATTTAATATTGTTTATTATTTGTTCCTTCTTATTTATTTTCATCGTTATGCGGATTAATTATTATTTCAGCCCTGGAAATTGCCTTGTAATATTTGTATTGGTGTGTATGAGTGCATTTGTGTACTTATACACCTGAACATATGGTGCTTATGTATATTCTGTGTATGTGTGAACATATGAATGTAAAAAAAGTCACTTGAAAATAAGTGTTCACAATGTTTATATGCATTTATTATTATATGCATTTATTCTTATTATTTATTTGCCAAGTACATGTGTACATATTTGTATATATAGTATTTTCCTTTTCAAAAAAGATAGTCAACTGGGTTATATAACTGACCCTATATCTAGATTTCATATATATATATATATATATATATGCATTTATTTATTTTTTCCCCAGTTTTCTTTATTTCTTTGTACTCCTTAATTTCTATACGTTTTTGACGCAATAATGCCAATGTCATATTAGGGTGATTCACCGGAGGGCTACTTCCCATAAGCTATGCTTCAGCCCTCCCGCTTCTA